CAATATCACGACGGGGGACACCAGAAATTGGCGTCACACATTGTACCCATGTCGGGAATGGAACCCGGGTCTTCGGCGTGACGAGCGAACGCTTTACCCACTAGGCTACCCGACCGCCCGTTAGCGAGGATAATCCCATTTGGACCATACCCCTGTGTTTCATCCTCTGGAGCAGATATACTGAACAACAAAAGTTCCTGTGACATTGAATAAGATTTAATGCAAAGTTACGGGTTTTTTACCAAATCTGAAACAATTTCGGTTTGCAACAGATAAAAGACTCCTGTGTGTGTTCAAATGGTTTAATTTGCCATACTGACTTCAGAAAATGCATGATTTAATAAAAAAAATATAAAAAAAAACATGAACATGCCAAAATGTCAATTTACAAATAAACAGCGTGTGTGTCCACCTCTGCTTGCGATGCAAGCAACACATCTTCGTCTCATGGAATGGACTAGGCGTCGCACAAAGTCCTGTAGGATATCTGTCCATATCTGCTGGAGAATGTTTAGAAGTTCCTGGAGTGTCTGTGGAACACGTGGTTGACGTCGAAGGCGCCGATCCATCTCATCCCACATGTGCTCGATTTGTGAGAGACCAGGGGAACGAGCCGGCCAGGGGATGACATTCACGTTGTTTTGTTTAAGAGACTCCTGAACAAGTCGAGCAGTCATGTTGAAAGGTTATGCCTGGGCCATGACGACGCAAAAACGGTAGAACAATAGGGCCGATGATCTCGTCGCGGTAGCGCTGTCCATTGAGATTTCCCTCTACCACTATCAAACGGGTCCTCTGTCTTGCAGTAATCCCACCCCATAACGCTGCCGCACCCGAACCGATCTTCTTCCATGACACAATGATTGATGTAACGTTCACCTCGACGTCGGTACACTCGAATCCGTCCATCGCTGTGGCTGAGGTGAAAACGAGACACGTCAGTGAATAGAACTTGACCCTACTGCATGGCCGTCCAGCGTAGACACTGTCTGCACCACTGTAGACGTGCTTGATGGTGGTTTCCTGTCAAAATGGGACGTCTGGCGGGTCTTCTGGCGACAATCCCTGCACATCTGAGGCGACGCACGGTTTGTGAAGGTATTCGTCGAAGGCCAGGGATGCTTCTTGCAGTCACTGTTGCTGGCTGGAATCGATTTCGTAGGTATGGTGTTCGAATCCAGTTGTCTTGTCGATTATTGGTTACTCGTGGATGGTCTCTGACTGCATTCGTTTGTTGCCAACGTTGCCATAAACACCAAATGGCATACCATTGGCATACCAATGGCTCGCATACACTCATTTTCGGACAGGCGTGGCATTTCGTAATATTGAATAATTGCGTTATTTTGTTGTGGTTTTTCTGACTGGTTGTTGTCAGCACGATGCCAAACAATGCATATGGAATCCCGTTAACGCACATGTTTTATACCCATTCTTGGGGAGTGAAATGCATGGGGCGTGCATAAAAGTCAATTATTGAATGGAATGCATGCTTTTCTGTAGCAGTTGCGATTTTGTGATTTGATTCCATACATGTACTACAATATTGAAAACCAAACTTTACTTGTTTGAAAAATACACTAAAATATTGGTGTCACAGGAACTTTTGTTGTTGAGTATATATTAGTCCTAGCAATTTTGACATCTTTCACATTTTCTCCAGCGATGTGAATCGTCAATATCCATAGCAAAATGACGTCTTGAGAATTGAGTTTGGCTGATTGCCATGGCAACAACAGCACGCCCTGCTTCTCAGGAAAATTCATGTAGCTACAACCAACAATATCTGGGTACCTTAGGTCAGAGCCCGTCGCCGACCAAGGAACCAGGCACGATATAGTCCTGCACCATGACCGTGGAATATATTTATTTTATGAAAAAATAATAATCTAGAAATGCATACAAAAGCAAGTCTAGCCAGCTCAAGCTAGCTCTATTCTGAAATCAGCATAGGGAATTTTTTTATTTTTAGAGTCAAGAAGGATATTGTGTAATATAAGATTTCAGAGACTAAATGTAAGTCTAGGCACGATAGCCTCACTCACACCCCCCCCCCCCCCCCCCCCCCCCCCCCCAAACCATCCCACCCCCACGACCACCACACCCACCCTTAAATGCAAAAGGAATACTGTTTGGGCATTTTCGCTTTATCAGCAGTCTCCGTGCGGTGCATATTGTCCTCAGAGTCCTACTTGAACTAAGATTTATATTTAGATTGACATATATATCAAATGCTTCTTGAGAAGCTTGTGGATCACATGACATCTTGACATTGACTCATGCTTGCACTTTGTGCCTTCACTAAATATTTTTATGGTTGGTTAAAAATAGGTACTACTAGTATGTCATGCACTGGCCAGGATGTATGTTTGATTACGTCATTTCCTTTAATTGATATGCTCACATGACTAAGAACAAAGGGCAGATGTGTTCACGGCTATGTATGATTAATAATTCTGACTCATATTCAAATTGTTTACCGCGTACTACAAAAAAATTGCCTTAATGCATCTTCTATCGGTGCGCCTGTGCCCAGCCACCCATATTATTCAGATGCATGTGTGTACCCGGCTCAATATTTGTTACTGCGACACCCAACGACTAGGACGGAATCCTCCCTCTCTCTCTCTCTCTCTCTCTCTCTCTCTCTCTCTCTCTCTCTCTCTCTCTCTCTCTCTCTCAATTAGACTGGAATTTCACATGTAATACATGACCGAGCGTGTTCATATAATCCTAGAGCTACATATGCTATTGATTTGATTTGGGAAAAATATATTTCAACATTGAAATATTGGCATCCGCGAACGAGATGGCATCCAGAGTACTGCACTATGGCATCCGGAATACAACTTAACAGGGTTAGGCTTCCGGCGTACCAAAACGGGATGGCACCCCCATAGACCGTGCAAGAAACATCTAGCTTTACAACTGCTATGGCAAACAAACAAACATGTTTTAAATCTTTGAAAGCAGGGCAGGGAAATATTATATCTAAAACATACATATATATGCTAACGTAGTAATTAAAAAAAGCCTCGTTAATAGGGGTTATGTTAGAATATGAGCGTTATGTTTGCCAGCAACAAACTAGCAGCAGATGTTGAAGCCCACCCCTGTTGCCACCAGGTGGAATACGAGCAGTGTGTAACTGCACGCGAAGTCAGTTCACTAGACTTGCACAGGTCTATTAGGCAAATATTATTAGTTAAAATCATATTTTCTAGATTATATAGATATTAAGAACAAGTTGTCCCTATAAGAGACTGGTATACTGACCGCTTATCTAGACTTGCCTGTTATAAGGATAGAATTACTGTACACCCATGTACTTATTCAGTACAGCCTTGGAGCAAGGCTATCAGTTCACCCGTGTCGCCTAGTACACACTTATCTGGCGTGTTCTCTTAAACCCGCCTTGTCGCAGGTGTCTTGTCTGTTGCGAAATATGATTACATATTAACATATCTAAAACGGCATCTTCTCTTAGAAAGAGATCAATTCAATGAAAGCATTTTTAACATCATATTTTCAAGAAGATTTGTCGGATAGAATTTTTTTGTGGCAACAGTCTAACACTATGTCAGGTTAAACATATTTCTGTAAAGCCCACGAACCTCTTGAAGATTCAAGTGATAAGCCGAGAACCAACCATACTGATCAATATTGATTACTGACACTATTGATCTATCGATAACTGGATTGTGGATTGTCTTCGTTTAGCTCGATACGGTTTTCACAGCAATATTCAAATAATAAATTAAAGTGTTTTTAAGACCTCGTTTGGGGCGGTTTTTTCCACAGAAAGCTGACAGGCGTTGATATAACTGAAATGCATTTCTAAACGGCGGTAAACGGCCAAACTCACTCTCACTCTCTCATTAGAACCTCTAACATTCCTGCACTCTAAAGGACAAAATGTCATGGCGATGCACTGCACACCCGAGTTTGCCATCAACACCGTCCGCCCCGTGGCTCCACTGCTGTCGCAATGGAGTCGTCTCATTCTCCAACATGGCTGTACAGAGCTGCGATTTAGAGGCAGACGCGAGTCGCAAAAACGAAGATATATATCGATTGACGCTCTAGGTAGGTCATGAGCTGACGTGAGTTGTACATTGAGCGATTGTATACATTATTACATTCCTCACAGTCAGACAATCGATATACGGGGGGTGGGGTGGGGGGGGGGGGGGGATATTTTTGGTATCACGAAACCTCGTTTGTCCGGACTGCACCGCAATCAGGGATCATGCTTTGAATAACAAATATCCGGATTAACGAGTATGGTGTATGGTGTGTTGTTCTCAGTATACATGTTCACGTCTCCAACAAGATCGCCCAGAAAGTGAGTTTCCGGAGCAGGGCCGTTTCACAGATGCTATAATTGTATCTCCTTGTCATCCACTATTTATTCTAACGCAACGCCCTTGTAAACTCTAGATCTAAATATATTGCATCAGTTATTATGAATGGCTAGCTTGTATACATACAGTAAACTCTGTTCACTGAAAAAATGTCATAATTTATTTCAATTGTACATCGTACCGTTAAATCTAAATGTAAAACGTAGCCGCCATTGTGATCATGTTAATTGTTGTTTTGTAATTGTTAAAAACAACTGCCCATGTACCACCGTCGGTGGCGATTTGAGAATTAAGAAATTGAAAACTTGATAACCGCATTGAACCAAACCTCTACAATGGGTCGGGATGGGCGAGAATCCTGTTTGAGAAAGAAACTCTACACCGACCGATGTTGGGTTTCAAATTCAATTTGGATTACTTTTAAAAAAATACTATTGCCGTGTTTCACACTCGAACCGGGTAAACTCTAATCGTCCTTTCCCATGGTTAATACACTGCCGTTATGAAAACACGCTCTTAGAATTTCTGAACCGCGGGAAGGGACGATGACGCGGAAGCGTATGATCATGTGACTATCGCAGGCGCAGATTAGTGGAACAGTTTATTTTCATTGAAGGGGTGTCTGGTTCTCCGACATTATGTCGGTGTGAGAACAAAGTCGCATTACGATGATGAAAATCACATTATTTGATTAAAGATCTGCACAAACAGGAAGAATTATATCCTAAAGTTCCCCGACGAGATGTTTTACTGCTGTTACGACATTTGTTGATAAATATTCCGACTTTTCCTCCACTTCGATGCGATCGGCCACAGAAGCCTTGTATAAAAGGACCATTGAATCGCCTGTCTGCGTTACCACAGACGCCGCGTCACACTGGGAGAAATATAACAGATCTCAAAGCTACTACGTTCTTTCATTCCATCACAAGGTAAGATTCATTTAAACTCAAACACAATATATATTAGGTGATATATTCAATTCATCTCCTACTGCATATTTAAAATACACATCGTTTTCTCGCATTTCGGCCATGCCGGTATGGTCGGCGTTTGAGCAGACGATCGATTGCTCGCCTCTGCAGTTCTCACAGGTTTAGGCCCGCGAGAACTGGACTGAACCAGATCCTCTTGCTTTCATTGTGTCAAAGTTCTTTGTTAATTGTTTTAATTATAATCATAAAAGATAGAATCGTATTTTTTCAAATTGTACAAATTATGACGATATTTATGTATGCTGAAAGGCTGACCAGGACACGTGGAATAAAAGAAATATTTGTCATTATTGGAGATATATATATTTATATTAAAAAGACATTCACGTCATGTCATGAGTCAATGAAACGTAAAATGAAAACCATTGGCTTCGTTCCTTGGTACCACTAGGATATGTACTGGGGTCTCGTTGCAATCTCATCGAAGGTCTTGTCTTATGTTATTGTTAACGATGTCCATGCCTTTGTGGATCTTGTACACAGACAGTATAACAAAATGGCTCCTATATACAACTATATGTCAAAATATCACTATGTCCAACCATATCCACAAATCATAATGTCTAGTTTGAGATCGTTTGGTTTACTAACTCTCTGAAGACGGTCATGAACTGATTGACATCATATATATGTTATATATTTGATTTGAAACAGCTATATGATTGAAACTTGACGAATGTATGCTTCCTTGGTGCGCTACATAACATCATTTTTCAAAACAGCTAGGTTATGATATAAATCTTGAAAAGACGTCCTATATTTCGCCGGTGTCAGCCACCTTGTTTACAAAAAGTTGGAGACGCTTGTCTGCAATTAATACAACTAAAACGGCTGTCTAAACCTAAACGTTAAATGATATGATGAGCATAATTGTAGAGAACCACAAGGGAAATATGCTGGTTAGGTTACTAACTGTCATAGACAAGGGTGTTTTTCTTGCTCATATGACCTCAAGGACAATGGAAGCAATGCTGGGAAGTCGCCATGTTGAATCGCTTCAGTGAAAACCCCCATCCAGTGAAAGTCTTCCGTGAACGTTTCACAAGCATATTAAATCTCGTGATAGAAACGGGAAATGATTCCTTGATGTGTGCTTGTCAATTTAAAATATCACTGACAAGCAATGTGCTTCTTCTCAAAATAGACTACAACAGACCCGTAGGAGCAGGGGCTTTTAACACCTTTGTTTCACAAGGAGAATCCTGCTCAACCAGCCACCTCCAGTTCTACATGCATACAGTGCTTTATTTTTCATAACATTTTATATACATTTGTTTAGAGTAAATAATGTGCTTTTTAGTTAATGTCCTTTGACTTGCCGCTCGTGAAGATTCTGAATCAGTACCATTGCTTCCCCCACGTTCCCTCTCAGAAACGCTCCTTCGGGTCGTCTGTACTAGGACCCACGTGATTGAAAGTAGAATAGTGTCTTAAATATCGAAAGCGCCTTGCTTTGCTTGTACTGTTCCAGGACTGCGGATTCTCTCCATTAAATTAAAATATTCAGCCAAGCAGTTAACAAATAGACATGTCCAGTTAATATAAACAAATTAAAACACGCCTACTTGTTCGAATACGTCTGATGCTCTCTATTTCTGATTTCATTATTTTTCGTTGAAGTATATCCAAGAATACGAAAATATTGAACAGGTTCATTAAGTAAACATCTTGCTACATATGCACATAAAATGTCGATAACCCTTGGAGCGGAATACTGGCAAGACGTTACGTAAACACCACCATGCTAAACCAATGCATCGATAAACTAAGCCGGTCAAAGATCGTCAAGGGTACATGTATAGTAGCTTAACTCTTTTTCATCCAGACGAGGAGGCGAGCATGGCAGTTTCAGAAATCGTTTCTGTTTAAGCTTTAAACTGTATGTAACAGGGTCGATAGAGTCATTACAGAACCTGGCTTCGTCTTAAGCTTAACATAGATATTACATGTTAGCTTCTTAACCTTTTGGCTGGCTGGTCAAGTACCTATTATATATTAGTAAATGTTACGACCTTGCATAATGAGATCAATAGATTTTTGCAGTCTTGCAATAATATTAAGCTTGCTTGATGGGTCAAGCGGGAAATCTCTTTGGCCACGAGTCATGGCCAAGAAGTTCGGAGTGTCAAAATAGTGATCAATCCTTTATGAATTGATCACTGAAAATCAGTGATGACACAGGTGCTCGCGAAAAGGGTAAGCATTACCTGCACTAGCAGTAACATCATAGACTTCAAAAGAGTAAGGATATGTCCATGTATAGGTCATATATAGCATGGGTTAGCACACGCATCATGGGGATAAGAGAGGTGTCATATTTAGTTTCTTCTGAACGTCTTCCATACAGCTTCTGAAACCTTTGAGTACCATGACCCGCAAGACTTGCGAGTTGTCCACCAAGAACCCTGAAACCAAACCTTTGACCTCAGAAACTACCTTATGTATAAATATTCTGGATATTAGGTTTTGTTTTCCTTTCCAAGTTGATGTCTTGTCACGATATGCCTGAAATATTGACAATATGACGTGAAATTGTATCCGACTCACCCCATGTATATGTACGCTTCAAATAGGATGGATTTGGGCTATGCCAATCAATTATATGAAAACTAAAACGTAGCTAAACGGTATTTAACCATACAGCAGTATATACCAGTTGGACAAAGGCTATAGCCCCTGGATTAACACACAGTCTATGGCATATTATTGTTACACAAGACGTTACTCACTTCTATGTTATTTATTTTCTAATGCTGATTTGTGGAATACAGCCAGCTGAGTTTTTATCAACTTAAATGCAGATAATCCACAGTCAATGTGCAGGACTACACAGCAACTGACGCGAACATGTATTGACTGTCGCCATGAGAGCGCACGGGACACCCTCTCAAGCAGCTGCCTGTTCAAAGAGCGAGCGATTCTAAAGGGAAAAGCCCTTAGACAAAGCCGACGTCTCCGTACATATATAGTCATGATTTGCAAGCAGTAGAGCGGTGAGGTGAGGTGAAATAGGCTTTGTCGCGTCCAAGATCACGGCACTTATATAGCGATAATTATGCATGTGTGTCTGCTTGTACTGGTCTGACAAATGCCGGTGTGCTGGCCTTCTGAGATACCATGCCGCAGTTTAACACGGGTACCAGTCCTAGTTTTAACCCCTTAATGTCGAGGGTAAGAACAAGTACCATCTTCTTGTTAATGTCTTTTGATATGCACGAGCGAGGATCGAACCACCGACCTTCCGCTTTCCGTGCTGACGCTGTATCCATTAGTCCACAGAGAAGGTCACTCTTTGGTTGATCAGTAGTCACTGGATTGACGGGAACCGACACGACTATATATTTACAGACCGCCATCGTGTAGCTGAAATATTGTTGCGTGTGGCGTCAAACAATAAACTAACCAAACCAAATTAAACATGTAAACTGTAGTCTATACATCATGACTTGACGACGAAACAGGCATTTAAAGTCGCCACTGTAGGATAGGTCTAATTGTAGTTTAAGCACGTGTAACCGTTTCAGAAAATAGTCCACTGGATTAAAGTTGCAGGTGCACGTCACTTCATGTGTTATTAACGGAATAAACGAGGTTGGTTTCATTTTCAATGTTTCTTGTGAATTGACGTTAAAGAAACAAACGTTTCAAAATGACAAATCTTAGGGATAATATTAGTTGTCATAAACTCTGATACAGTTTATTGCCTGCCGTGACAACTGATGCGTCACCTCGGGGGTATTGTCATGACAACGTGGTGTTGTTTTGTAGAATTTGACATTGATGGGTGAGGTGTCGACAGAAAAACATGTACAACCCTATACTAACATCTAGTCTCCGAAATGAACATATCGTACAGATAAAAAAAGTTGTTAAATTATCTTAATAAAAATATAATAAAAAGGAGCTCAGAGACTCTCTTCATTTTCAGATACTGCAGAAATCTAGACTTGCCAAACATTATAGACTTGCATGGGCTGTATTTGATCTGTTTGTATCAGGGTCTGTAAGACAGACTAGTACAACCCTATAATATTATTTTGCTTAAAGCGCCCCCTGTTATACACGCATTGCTTTAGCGTTCATGTCAACACACAAACAAGAATTGTTTTTCTTTCTGTATTCGTTGGGATCTCCGCTTCATTCCCCACCTATTATGACAAGTACATATTTCCAAGGGGTTATGGCAATATTTATATATTGATGACTGATGAGTAATTGTTCTTTAGGAAATGAAACATAACTTTTGACGAAACAAAAAGTGACGAACATATGCTCACTTTGTGGACGCCCAACCTAAGTGTCAACTAAAACAATGGGATTATTACATAATATCTAATACATTATATATTATAATAACCTGCCCTCGGTATATTTGCACAGTAATGACCTTCAAACATGGTGCCTAGTTATATCGGACGGCGATCATTGTCCTGTAAACAACGGTGTGATGTAAGCTAGTCTTGACCTGTCAGTGAATATTCTTCAAAATATCCTGAGCTTAAATCGATGTTGGTTCGTTGGTTTGTTGTTTAACGCCGCACTCAGCAATATTGCAGCTATCTGACGGCAGTCTGTAAAACATCGAGTCCAGACAATCCAGTGATTGATATCATGAGCATCGATCCACGCAATTGGGAGCGATGACATTCATCACCCAAGTCAGCGAACCTGACTACCCGATCCCGTTAGTCGCCTCTCACGACAAGCGTAGTCGCCTTTAAATCGATGTATTAATGTTACCATCGTTACTGATAACGATTCTGGGGTAAAGGATGGCGTTTTAGATGTTGTGATGCAAGGTGCTGATTTGGCAATATTTATGCCATGAAACTATAAATTAACCACGAAGCGATACAATCCCCCGTATATGTATTCTCAGATCGTGTATCCTTGGTGATGAACCTTTTCTATTTGAACATGGATCGGAACAAAACACACATGTGGCACCAATGTTTCATATCTTGTGATACCATGCCGTTCAAATGCCGACCACAAGCAGCTATACCACTGTACCACATATACATACAACATGTGAAGAGCCACCACGTTAGAATTAGTCTTCAGCCCCCATGTTTGCCAATCAAATGGAGGATCGGGTGGTCAGGCTCGGTGACTTCGTCGATGCATGTCATCGTTTCCCAGTTGCGGGGGTCGATGCTTATGATGTCAATCACTGGAATGTCTGGTCCAGACTCGTTTATTTACTGACCGTCGTCATATAGCTGGAATATTGCTTAGTGCGACGTTAAACAACAAACAAACATGGACTTACAATCATTCCTCCGTGGGACGTTCCCCAAACACATTTATTTCCATTTGATGCTGTGTTTGCCATACGCTGCAAAATTGCTGATGCTGTGAAATTGCAATTTTCTAATTCATGTGTCTGGCTGGGGCTCGCATCAGAAACCTTTAGCCTACACTGTGACTTGAGGAGTCGCATTTCGATCATTCCACCATACACGCGCTGTTTGAAGTCCTGCTCCAGACTAATTCCACCACGGCTGCTAATGGCGTTCAGGCTTTGAGTGATTATTGCCAGTACTTTGTTGACTTGCGCAGTAATCCCGCGCAAAGACTTCTGTTCTCATCAGATCTCTCCTGGCTCGAACGGTATATGTTCGTCTTCACTTTCTGGTAATCACGGATCATGCTGTACGCTGTAGTCGTCACCTTCACCGTTGTCGTAACTGAGGCTCGACTTGGTCCCGTCTATTAATGAAATCCTTCATTACAGTTGATGACCACTATTTATCGTTGGTCGACAAAACCTGAATATGCCTTTTTGGGGAAAATACAAAATGAGGCGAAGTGCGGTAAAATGGAGTTTAACATTACGTTCAAGAATATTACACGTGTAGGCAATGACGACAATACGACATGTATGCATGACAAGTTTGTTCAATTATTTCGTTCTTTACCGCAGAGATCTAATTGAATCCTGAAATTTGACGCAACTTCTATGGGATCACTGTTACATTGACACATTCCTCGTCTCGTGTAGGGCAATACAGTAATCTGGTTATGTTAATGTCAGCAACAATACCCGCACTGTGTGCTGCGGACTAGATGCGTATTGATTTCGGCAGCTGTTAACCAGCAGCTGTTTCCATGACATCAACTCGAGCTATTATCACCGAATCAATATCACCGTCATATAGCGCGCATAATTGCTTTGTCATATGTTCTCCGGTATTGGACCAGTTGTAGGGACCTGGCATGTCGACTTTGCTCTTCTCTGGTATCTATTTTCAATTATATTATAAAGGCTGATGTCTATTAAATGTCATTACCTCATGCTGCATAAATAACACATGTATACCTAGGCGTCACTGGGTTCAGTCGTGCAGTGTGCAAATAAGTTTCTTTCTGTTTCCTTATTTCACAATAACATATATTGCATCATAATATATCTAGAACTGAACATGTAAAAGTGGGACCATTTCGCTCACTGCTTTGATTCGCATATGTAAATGGCGACTTTTTATAGCCAATATTTCATGTTACATAAACCAGATCGGACAGTTGCCACGCTATTCAGTATAGCAGTTTCCTTGATTCGCAAATGACATGCATTGCATCATATTATTTCTAGAACTGACTATGTAAATATATGGGCCCTTTTCACTCAATATTTTTACGAAAAATATTTAATAGGTTATTGTTACTTAATTCATGCGTGAATATTAACCTCCAGTTGTTGATCGTTTACTTGCGACGTGCATTTCATGTCTGAACGATAGAAGTGCAGTGTGAGTTAGAGGTTGACGGCGACACGAACAAAGAAACAGTGTGGTGCAGGGCACGGCGGATCTGTTTCGACCGAGGGAAGCCATTTACTGTGTTCTGATTGGATGGTTATTTATATCAGCCTCCGCGTGACCACTAGCTTTATGTTTATACTGACTGGATGTAGGTCAGGTCGCAGCGCAGTTGATTCTGAGGTCAACGGTCGGGGAAGGTGTTGGGTGGAGAGTCACGCGACTGGCGCGGTGTAAGCTAAATGAAAATTGGGTTCAACGTCTCCTTCAAGACTATTGCACTTTTATAACCACGTATGTGTGAGTGAGTAATGCCTGTTATATCAGACTCCGAGCCGCGACCAGTCCTTGTTTCATTCCCCCTGTTTCAAACCTGATTTGCTTCTACACTGTGTATCTCTGGTAAATACCCAGGCAGGGTAACAAAAATACCATCTTTTAACATCTTTTGGTATGACACGTCCAGGGATCGAAACAACGACCTTCCGCTCTCCGGGTGGACACTCTATCAATTAGCCCACGGAGGCAGTCCAACTACGGTGAAGATATTAAACGCGACATTGATAGGTCCGACAAAATCACATAATGTATTGGGTTCGAAATAAACAATTACTTGCAAATAATATTTACATTATGTATTGCGACAACAGATGTATTAAACTATAGGTACCGAATTATCACCTTTTAATCTGTTTTTATCAACTTTCTTTCTTCCGGATTATGTACAAGTCAAGGCATATTAAATTGAAACTACCATTTTGTCATATAATGGACATGAAGGTATAAAATGGTAAGTTAACCTTCTACGCTTTATGATTGCTATCTAAATAGTTGGTTGGTTGGTTGGTTTGTTGTTTAACGCCGCTCTCAACAATATTCCAATAATCGAGTATGGGCCAGACAATCCAGTGATCGACATCATGAGCATCGATCCACGCAATTGGGATGGATGACATGTATAAACCAAGTCAGCGAGCCTGACCACCCGAATACGCAATTGGGATCGATGACATCAACTAAGTCAGCGAGCCTGACCACCCGACCCCGTTAGTCGCCTTTTACGACTAGCATAGTCACTTTTTACAGCAAGCTTGGTATACGTCTATTGCGTATATGGAGTTAAACACTTGGCCAAATCAATATCAACTTTAGTAGAGTTAATTATAACGGGAAATAGTGTGAGGATAACAACAAAGTTAGTCATATATCATGTCCATTCAACAGATTCAAAGATTGTGTCCTTTGTTTCAGACTTTACAGCATGGTTGCTGAACAGCCTTGTGAAGTTCACAGTCAGTCTTCACATCTTGGAATCGGTCTCCTTGACAACGGCAAATTACTCGGAGATCCACCTCCTGATGCGGGAAATATAAGTCAACCCGTGCTCGAAACTTGCATGGACGTGAACAACTACCCCATTACAGCTATTCCCTTTGATCAACTGGCCATGTACTCTTCCCACCAAGAAGTTCCCATCTCCACCACTGACAATGACTATCCAATTGTGTCTATAGCTTGCGTAACAGGACAGAACAACATAAGCGAAGAAGGTGATAATTCTGTGTTCAGTGGAGACATAATTTGTGAATATAATTCAGGGAACACTTTCTCAGCACCCACTAGTGAACTTCGGTCAGACTCTGTGTCGTCATGCAGCGATACCTACAGTAATAGCGACTATACGGACTCGTTGTGTAGCACGGACAGCACCAAATTCCTGCTGCCACCAAAGTATGAGGTGAACGAAACCAGTGAACACATATCCCCAAGCCATGAGCAGTCGACGTCAGATCAAACAATGTCATTGTTAGGCGTAACAGAGATTTTGGAAAGCGAAGCTGTGATAGATATGCCTGAATGTTTCGAGAACAAAAATTACACAAACACTGTATCGTCTCAAACCTCCAGTAACCAGCCACTGCTAGACAGAACTGAGAGCATGTGGAGCTTCGCAAAAGAAGTGGATGCACCAATCATTGGACGTATTGAACATCCCGGTTACTTCTCCTCTCAGCGAGACCTTTCCAGTACCAGTAATCTTAGCTTCGCGTGTCAAAAGGCTCTTCAGTACCTCCAGGACGAGCGAGTGGCGAGTTCCCTCCTTCTGCCAGGAAGTTACAAGGACGTGTCAAAGTTGCCTCCAAGTGGTAAGAAGGATCTTGATGACGTCGTCGACCACAACATCGTACCCAGCGGTCGCCACACGCGCAATCTCCTCGCTCTTAGTGTGTGCAACACTATGGTGTTTATTGCTTGCGGTTCCCTGAGGAACCTACAGAGCAGCATCAACCATGAAGGCGGCGTTGGAATCACGTCTCTCGCTGTCAACTGCTTAGGATTCATGCTTGGAAGCATTTTCAGCCCGTTCATTGTGCAGAACTTTGATCCGTACAAATCCCTCCTGGCGTCTCTCTTCCCCCACGTCTTGTATATTGCTGCTAACTTCTACCCAGTCATGTGGCTGATGTGCCCTGTCTCATTCTTGCAAGGAATCAGCACCGCCATCATGTGGAACGCGATGAGCACGTACGTTACATTCCTGGCAAAGGGCTACTCGGAGAAAAGGAAAGAGGATTATGAGGGTGTTCTCAATCGATTCTTCGGCATATTTTGTTTGTTGTTCCAAGTATACATGGTCTTCGGCAACCTCATCGCATCTCTTGTCCTCACATATGCAAACCCAGCTGATGTTTCCAATGTGACAACATCAAACGAAAGTGTTCTCACTCCTACACTGAACCTATCAGAGTACATGTACTCTATATCCAGTGACCCTTTGCTGAACTCCACAACACTCAGTGATATCAACACCCCCAACGTCTCAATATGCGGAGCCAACTACTGCCACCACTACACCATCAGCAACTCCGGAACTACAGTCAGCGACTTCGCCAAATACCTGCTTTTCGGTATCTACCTGGGATGCATGGTTTTAGCCCTCCTCATCGTGCTCTTCCTTCTGGAGCCCCTCAACAGTCGCCTCTTTTCCTCCGTCATGACATGCGGCATGATTAAAACACAGATGGTCTCCCTTGGAAAGTTCATCGTGAACCGGAAGTTTATGCTCCTCTGTCCACTCCTGCTCTTCGGCGCCATGGAACAAGGATTCGCTACTGCTGAGATTACAAAGGTACGTATTTACAAAATTAAATACCATTCGCAGTTTCATTACTATTTATTTATTAATGCCAGGCGAAAATGGTTGCAGCGTGATTCATTGGAGAGTTTTGTTCAATAACCAGCTGTAATAGACATTGTTTCACAAAGCCAAGGAGGACGTGTCTCAGACTCCCCCCCCAAAAAAAAATAACCTCAATTTATGAGTAATATAGGCCCCAATTTTCTTATTCCTGACCCACGAAATTATCACCTGGTCCCCTGATCTATCTCAAGCAGTGGGCACTATAACCCTTGTCATATTCCTGTCACAAGCGCCGTTGTATTTAATGATATCGTCGCTTAGCAACCGACCAAATATTCTCCGAGAAATGAATTTAAAAAATAATTATAATTCAAACTGTTGAAATAAAGAAATTGTTTGCCACAAGAAATACGTTGTTGCAAGATGTTTTTATTTGCCCAAAAGATATTCTGTAGCTTTAATCAAATAGTTATCTGGTCTCCATACCAAGTTATCGTCTTCCCCCATCTCGATACAAAATCATCATTTGCTTCCTAACTACCCAAATATCAAATTGTCGGTCCCTTATCTTCTATTCCTTAAAACAAGAGAGTTCTTGTCGAGCTCACGGATGGACAATATTATTAACGATATTAATTATTATTATTTCAGGCCTTCGTGACGTGTCCCATCGGCGTCCACATGGTCGGCTACATGATGATCTGCATGGGCGTGTCGGCGAGTATCAGCGCCTACCTCAGCGGATGGTTGTGCAGATACGTCGGAAGAATTGTGCTGATCGCAATAGGTGTGTTTCTTATACTGATGCTGCCTTTCTAACTTGTCATTGTATCATGTAAAAAGTAGAGTTTTAAAATAAATGCTGTACCTTTTATCTAAATATCATTCTCAATACGTAACAGTAATTAGTATGTAGATTTAACTGTTGGCTTACAGTAATCATTTTAATGAGAATGATATAGTTTATGCTAAATAGACCAATGCTACTAATTATGGCCATCTTTATACTCAGACGCATATATGTAGGGATGACAATAATTATTTGCATGGGTCTGTATAGTGTGTCAGTGTTAATGTAGATTAAACATATCTTAATTATAAGCTTTTATTCCCGTCTGTTGATGCTAGAGAGGGGGAATACTGTAGGGAACAATTGAAACCTGTCCAGATTTCGACCATGTGTAACAAAACGGACAGGCTTCAAATTCCGTTACCCAAAATAATGGATGATTATGTTATTAATTGAACCCTAACAAACATCTAAGTAGTATCACTATCTTGTCTTGAGCACCAATCAGGATTAACTGTTGAATCTATTTTTTCTAGTAAAAAAAGGCATATATAAATCGACGAACCAAGGATGTCATCTACACATAACCAAGACAATGAAATGTTGCAGCAACTATCCCGTCGGTGGAAATTCGATAGTAAACCCTTTGTTGGTTAAATTGTTCCTCCCTCTCTGCATCACAGTTATAACAGCCTTGCTGAACCTTGTCGGTGATGATTCTTAATGGCCGCCAACATGGCCGAACATCACCAGATTGAGTCCACTTGCTTGGGCTGGCGGACTCGCGATCTATATTTCCTTTTTCTGAACATCCATTTGCCTCATTCCTTTTCAGTACCATGAGTTTTAACTTTGGTTATACATCACAAGTGGCAGACCAAAGACGCCACCATAGTAAGAATGCAGTCTCCCAAGACTTCGACTTGCCAGCTAGGCAAATAGTCAGTTCCATCCAGCATTGTTGATCTGATATGACGTTATAGAAAGCTACCCATACGATGACATTGCTGACCAAAGACCATAGACGTCTTTCTGAGGGGATGACATTCCGATGTAACGGTGTTGGTGATTGGTAAGTAATGGGCATGTGCAGACATGCCCAGGAGAAGAGACGGTAAGGCACCAGGTAGTCACGTGCTTGCTTTTGAAGTGTGTTCTGACAAGTCACCCTGATCGCACATCCCAATGTTTCTGTGGATTTGGGCGAAGAGGCATTTCATTGTGTTAGTTTGTATAGGCTGGTCATTCCCCAATTTCTGGGAATGTAGATACATCCATTTTGGCGAGTATCAAAATTCAAGCAATGGAGGAATAACAAGTTCTGCTTTTCTACCCGAAATCAGTCTCGGCACGAGCATGGGCGTATCCTTCCACTGTACTTCCCGCATCGAACCCTCACGCCTCTGCTAGGCAACAGAAGATTCTACTAAATTACTTTCTTGTCCTGGTCTAACTTATTTTTTAAATTCCAAATGTCCCAATCAAAAAACATTTTTTATGTAGCTTATTCCGGAAATTTGATATAGAAATGTTTCAAAGTCCTTGATAGATAAATCTGGAAATGGAAGACTAAGTCGTGTTGGTTAGTTTGGGAACTGAATCTTCTGCCGCCTAGTTCGATGCGTTGCGTGTGGTACGTCCCCGTCACTTCATACGATCCGCCTTAAATACTATAGTCCATTTCAGCAACTTGTAGATATTCTCTGAAGCAGTGTGTACCTGCGCCGTAATATGTATTCCTCTCTCCATCTGGATTAAAGTAACGAGTACTATATTTAAAATTGTATACTATTTTCCATTTTCGGCTTTCAAAACTGTATATTCATTTATTGATATAACAAGCATTTAAGTAATCAATTAAAATATAAAATCTACATATACAATCTACAACTTCTTGAAATTGACTATACCAACAGGCGCGATCATGGTCAGAACAATATGTATTTTTACATACTTAATGATTCTTGCAAACTGGAAACCTAAAGTTATACTTGTTGATGAAGTAATATATTACGACAATATCCATCAACTTGGATGTAATTGGCATTGAAGCTAGGCATGCATTTACAGTGTATTTCGAATGGAAGAATACAAGGACAACTAATTAAACATTAAAGCTATCGATGATGATGCCCGTGATGATGTGAGGTAAGTATTTAAATAATTGATAAATGAAGTAAACACACTCATTTAGTGATACATTTCATCCCAACTTAACTTCATTTTGGCCATCTAACCCTTATCTCTTTAGGATTTTCAGTCTGCAAGAATGTGTATTTTTCCATCATCATGAGATGTGTCATGCAAGAACGAGAAACTCTTTAGAATCATTTATAATTGTTTCCTGGCAACAAAGCATCCGAATTTTGAAATTCAATGGCATTATACATTTCATGAATATTTGGTGCAAAAGATGTCCAGTTAAAAAATCCGGACTTTCGATACTATTTCAATAAATTAAATCTACCTGGTGTAAATGTTATATCTGAAAGTTATCCAAACGTTCAAACATTAAGTCTTTTGCGCCAAATAAATGCATATTTCAGGGAAAGGAAACACAGTCTTGGTATCTTTCTTTCGATCAAATTAATTATTTTCGGGCATGTTGTCCTAGTTTTGGCTCACCTAAAGATTTTTAAACTTCAACTTGTAATAACACATATCAGAACGTTCACTCTCTCTCTATTGGCAAGTCTGTCTTAAACCAAAACTGTGTTTGTGATGTCACATGACTGTCATGTGACCAAGGTAAGCGAAGCTGATGCCGCAATGTGCACGTGCAAATGGACTCTCTTCAATGTTTTGTGAAGAAGGGTACGCAAACGCAAAAGAGCATTGCAAACGTTTTGAATATCTTTGTTTTGTACATATTAGGATCAGACTCACATTTGATGAGATTCTAATTAAATGCAAATAGAGACAATTCAAATAAGGGAATGTTTTAGTTGTCTAGTTATGAGATGCACAAAAATATGTGATTGGTTTCCATCAAAATTAATTCAAATCGACATTTTGGGTACAAAATCTCTTTTTATGAAACCGTTTTGATTAAAATTGTGTTAATCGAAAATTCGAAAATTTGTTTTCGGTTCCATCCCTAAATAACACTTTTATTTAGTAAACCCAAGGAAACCAAAAGCAAAACCGTGCACTTTATCGAAAACGGAAGTCGCGTGGAAGTATATTTGTAACACGAATATGATAAAGAGTGATTGTTATATGCTCCTTTTTCTCAAAGCAAGAGTAGTATGTATTAAGTCGCCCATGCTCTTTAAACTCGTTTTTGATTGGCTTTTGCCGCTCCTCGAAAGAAAAGCGGGATAACTCCATTGCACATAGGTTCCGTGGTTGCATACCACTAGTAAGATTAGCATAGTCTGACAGTGGGTATTTTGCCTGCGAAAATCTCCCGCCTCTTTCCCCATGTCTACATTGGAATAAGGGATGTGTGAGGGGTTGGCTGCAGTTTTGAACCGTGTCATTCAATCATAAATCTTCGCTTTTCAGCCGTTGTGTGTAACCTTGGTCTTCTGACGTTCATGTCACTATGGTCGCCAACACCCGACTCTCTCATCATACTGTTTGTCCTGTTTGGCTTCTGGGGCTTCGCAGACGGCATCTGGTTGGCTCAGAGCCAGAGTAAGTTCTATAATTGTATAATATCAATTATTGACCATTCTTGGGGACAATATGTTTTATGGACCCAAGAAACTCATGACTTTGTCATTTTCATTACACCACCTACTTTTTCAGATATATGCATAATAGTTCAATACATATGTATGTCCAGTGAAGACAGGTCACGGTGGCCTACTTTCATTATGTAGCATATACTAAATTTTCGTTGTTTTCTTGAATTCCACCTGGGGACATCAATTTTCGTATGACAACTGATATTGAAGATCATTGGTTGAGTGTCTAGGTATTTAAACAGGAAGTGAATTTATCTTTTCTCAATGTGGCTACAGACATAGGTCTCTTTTAAAATTGTCTTCCATTGGGCATATGTTGTCCTGAACCGGAAGTGATGTCATTAAACCGAAAGTGCGTATTTTATGGTAACTTGAGGCCCAATGCAAAGTTGTACTGCTTTTGACAGCATTAGTTTTCAAATATGACTATAGATAAATATATGGCGAGATCATGAGATGAACTGTCACCTTATTTTGTAAAGTCAAAATGGTTCGTGATACAGGTTTCTGGTGGGAAACGGGGCATTCGTGGAAAATGCTGGTAATAGGCATGCTTCTGTTTTTGCATGTAATGAGGACTTTTCTAGTTGTTAAAAAATCAAACTATACTTACTTACTCACTCACACATTCGCATCAACAATCTCACATATTGTTTCCATTTAGGTCTGATGGGCGTGTTGTTTTCTGACGAATTCGAGAACGCCTTCACCGGCCTAAGAATCATGCAGGGCATGGGATCCACCCTTGCCTTCGCCTACGCTCAAAGTTTCTGTATGGCCAGCAAGATTTACATCATGGGAAGCGTCTGCATTGTCGGCATGGCGTGCTACATCCTGTCCGAGCACCTGCTCAAGAAAGAGCAGCGACAAGCAAAAGCTGTGATCTTTGTCTCCGAGGTTGTGTAATCGTTGTTATTATACCACCTGTGTAAACAGTCGTAACTACTCGTGTCATTCCGAGTCAACCGAATCGTTACGGAAAGGGGCGAATGGTGACGAGTGGTGTGTATAAAAATGACGTTCCAAAACGAATCAGATAATGGACGAATTGTTACGGAAATGGCAAGATGTGACTTATGATGTGTATAAACATGAGGTTGACGTACGCGAAGGGATCAAATGTGCCAAAGTAGAGCGAATATATGTTAATGAATGGTTCGTTAAAGGAAGGATGACTGATCGTTGATACGGCTATGTGTGTAAATGAATATTAATGTAAATTGTTGCTGAATTTCCATGAGGTAGCATACGTGACCGGTGTGTCCAACAGATCTGTATATATACATTTACAGTATATGTGAATCTCAGCGCATCTTCGTCATCATATATTTTATCGTGCTATACCGCGGAAATCGTATTTACAGACAAACATTGGCTATCGGCCAAACAGGGTACAACTATTAGTTGTTACTAAATTTATTCGTTGATATGTTACCAACGGATATGGGGAACAATTGTTTTGTTTCTATTATTTGATCAACTCATGACGCTAACATGACAGTTAGTGTAGTGCTACTTCTTGCTGACAAACCCACAATATTCATTGTTAACATTCTGTTCGTATTTTCACTATGAGCAAAATCATATGCTAGCTGTTAAAGAAGAATATCATTGGTTTATTTGTTATTATATTATCCTATGGTTGAATAAAGATAATTCGTCAGTTACTGCTAATGTTAAACATTAATCCTTGTATCTTTTTATGATTTATTCTGTCAAAATATATTTCCTAGAATATTGGCCAATGTGTTTCGGTCTGAATTATAATTGGTATGCTGCTAGTACAACCTTTTGGAAAACCTTTTATGTTTTTGTCTATATAATTTCTATTTCTATTTTCGAAAGTTTCTGCTGAAGTAAATCGTGGGTAATTTCTTATTAAGTTTACAAATAGATAACTCCATCTAGAGAAGTTATCATTTTGTGCTACCATGTGCACAAGTTGTGTTGCTAATATTTAGCTTCTGTCCATGTACATAGAATGTGGCTATTCATATTAAGCTAAACAGTGCCAAAATGTGGATATGTTTCACACCCCCTCATTCAAATACCTCATAATCATCATCATCCCAACCCTCGGAAACGAGTCATTGTTGCTTGTGTACAGCTGAACCCGTTCATAAATAAATATTTATATCTATATGGTTTTTGTCTTATATTTGTCATATAAATTTCCTTTCGATAAACTCAATCATGTTTTCAGTGGAGGAAAACGTTTGTTAATTATCCCTCGCGCGAACGAGATTTTGCGGGGGATATACAGATGGTTTCCGTCCGTCCGTTACGTTTCATTTTCATACGTCGTTGTGGGATTTCCAGCAACTATGCTTGCATGAGGAAACTAATTGGATTCGGTGGCCTGACTCGGTGACTTGGTTGATTGTGTGACTTCATACCCTGACAGACTGGGGCGTTGCTCATAAAATCAATCACTCGATTGTCTGGTCCAGACTCGTCAGCCCGCTGGAATATATTCTATTTCAGATTTCACATTTTCATTCCTTTTATTAAAAGGCGACTAACGGGATCGGGTGGTCAGACTCACTGACTTGGTTGATACATGTTATCGATCCCAATTGCGTGGATCGATGCTCATGATGTCAATCACTGGATTGTCAGGTCCAGACTCGAACATTTTACAGACCGCCGTTATATAGCTGGAATAGTGCTGAGTGCGGCGTTAAACAACAAACAAACCAACATTCCTTTTATTTCATTAGTGCCACTAAATAACAGTCAAATCCCGAACTATTATGTTATGTTAGTGAGGATGTGATTGAGTGCAAGGCCAAAACTGGTTCCAGTGTTGGTAGGCTATGCAAGCTCAGGTAACCTGTTCATTGACAATAGGGTTAAGTGGGCTGACGATGATTATGGTCGAATTGATTTTCGTTCGCAGTTCGTGATGTTTTGTTGGGCTTCAAAAATCAAGCTTTTAACACCCGGTTGGAAGTAGAGCATCTGTGTCTCCATCCAAAGCACAGCCGATGCACTCGACTTCTTTTAGTCGGAAGTATTTTTTAGAAACGCCTCTGCTTACATTAATCTTAACGAGAGCAATTTTAGTTTCACAAACAAAATTCATAAAGGACGCCATTTGTTTACACTTCATACAGAGAACCAATGACAGTTTTATGTTTAGTGTCACCCAATCACAGCCTACGAGAAATCAGCCGCCGGCTGTCTATTGAAATGGGTAGACAGGAGCCTAGACTGGTTCCCGGATCCTCCGCTTGGTGTCGTGGCTCTCGCTCTGCCTTCCATGGCAGGCACGAACGGAAACCAGTCTAACAGGAGCCCAGTCTAGGCCAAAACGTTTTATAGCTGTGACGTCATAGTATAGCAAAGTTTCCGCGAGATGTTTCTTTCAGCTGTGACGTCATAAGTGTACTTCACATCTCTAGATAGGCGGTATTTCAGAACAATTCAAATATTGACCAATTTACAAAGAAGGGCATTTCGTTCAACTTTACGTTATGAATTTCAAAACACATGTAAGTGCAATACATAGGTAGTGAATTCTCACAGATATCGCACCGCTGCTTCAAATATCTCGGCCGCAAAAGTTAAAGCCGAATTAAGCAGTGTATTTTTAATGATTCTTTGCGATATGACGCGATGGTCAAGATGGTCGAAAATGTCAACGTGAACATCATGTTAATGTATGGCCGGCCCATTTCTGGTGTCCCCCGCCATGATATTGCTGGAATATTGCTAAAAGCGGCGTAAAACCAAACTCACTCACTCTCACTCACTGTTAATGTATGTTTTTGTACTCAGTTATTAAGAAAGATATTGGGTAATAAATAAAATCTTGCCCTCGTAACTTTAGATAATTGTTTTATTTTATTATTTGAACACTTAAAAATTGTCGAGCAAGCCTCGGAACTTTTCTACTTTTCGATTTGTGTTCATGTATAATTACATATTTCATGTAAAAAGACACTCGGTGAGATTTTCTATGTACAACAGTAAGTGAGACCTATAAGCATGAATATTGTACTGATAAACCAATGAATACAATTTTCGCGAAACTTGGTCGTGAATCTCTCTCTCTCTCTCTCTCTCTCTCTCTCTCTCTCTCTCTCTCTCTCTTTGTAAATGCCAGGGAGAGGGCATTCTAAGTTGAAAGAACTTGTCCCCCAATCCCGTTCACTCCTTGTGAATAAATATGTTTAAATCAAATCAAAAGCACACATGCTCACCGGAAGCGTGTGGTGTAGAATACGTGAGATCTACCGATGAACCACATCATCTATCATCGAATATTTTACTGCTGCTTCAATGGGATTGCGTTTTACTCGTACACATTCGATATATAATAAGGAGAAATTGATCTTCGACTATCAGTAACGATATTAAAACAAAAGATCAAGGCATAGACAAATCAATCTAGTACACCGTAGCATATATAAGTGTAGAGGGTGTCGTCAACTTTCGCCTCCAGTGCAGTTCGCTTATCTTATGCAACAGTGATGTATGCTATATCATAGTAGAGGTTACACACAACCAAATGTTTTCCCATAGACTGCTTTAGTAACGTTATATCTTTTTAAAAAATAACTAGGCATTCAACAGCCATTACATTTACATATATGCACAGTCTGGCCTTAAAGCTGCAATAAAAACACAGATTTTGGCCAGGTCAGCCAGCTCCTTTTCCGAGTACAGGAAGCTGAACACACCACCCCCAGTTCCGCACCAAATGTCGCCTACTTGAAAATATCTCTGCTCACATAAAGCACAAGTCATCTTGTTAAAAAAAAAAGTCAGCACCAAATATTGGAAAATATGGGCAGTTTTAATTACTGGATGAATGTACATTTAAAGACATAAAAATCTTACACAATATCATCCAATCACAGCCTGCAGATATCTCTTGATCCGCACTGTCACAACCAGTTCTGATTTAGTGTAGTAGAACCTAGACACAGGCAACCGATTTCAATGATGAAGTAATAAAGTAAAAGATTTATTTGAATATGAAAACTATACACGTGTCTTAAAGCCCCAAGCACTGATTCAATCCAGTATGATCAAATGTTCTGCTGCATGAAGGAACTCTAGGGGTCCTCTAGTCCCGAATCCGCTTGTAAAGAAACAATCTTTATCATCCAAAACTGGCTCCAACAGGAGATATCGCTTGGGTGAGATCAAGTGATATCTACGTTGTACACCTCGTGCCAGATGTTTATTATTTAGTCTATAGTAAACTCATTTAGAAGGAATGGTCGCCCACTTCTTTGGGATAATATTTATTTCCTTTGATATACTTTCGAAAAAGTCATTTGATCTTTGTGTTAAAAGATTAAATTGTTTGTTATTGTTAATCCTAGTGTTCGGTAGGATTACTGGTCTTGTTGTACTGCTGAAGCAACTATGGGAGTCTTCTCAGGAGACAGTGTAGGTTCTTTTATCAACCTCTTATAAGTACAGTAAACTACGTTTATAACGAACACGCTTATAACGAACTGACGGATATAACGAACTTATTTTTTACTCCCGGCCATTTGATGTATTTATGCTGTATATATGCTTATAACGAACTACGGTTATTACGAACTAAAATTAGTGGTCCCTTTGAGTTCGTTATAACCGTAGTTTACTGTATTTGTTGTTTTAGATCAATTACAATCACTAAAAACGTTATAATAACTAACTATGTCTTGCTTATCTCCTACACATTGTTATGTAAACAATAACTAGCACTGTATATACCGCGACCTAAACACCTGGCTAGTGTTGGGACTGATCGATTACGAACTAAAGTATATCATTACACGAATTCATGCGAACTACCACACCATTTAACCATTTCTTCATGTAAAATGGCAGTTGGCGAAAGTAGACCTAACAGTGTGAGATACACGATTTAAATCACATAGCCATTGTGTATGTAGACACATGTTCATTCATACCAAGATCTTATAGAAACACACGTGAACAAACCCTTCCGCCTTGATCAAAAACCCACGTTCCCACAGACACACACATCCTGCCATGCCGGTCAACAACCCATGTATCCATAGACACACTTCCTGCCATACCGTCAACAACCCATGTATCCATAGACACACACATCCTGCCATACCGTCAACAACCCATGTATCCATAGACACACACATCCTGCCATACCGTCAACAACCCATGTATCCATAGACACACACATCCTGCCATACTGTCAACAACCCATGAATCAATAGACACACACATCCTGCCATACCGGTCAACAACCCATGTATCAATAGACACACACATCCTGCCATACCGTCAACAACCCATGAATCCATAGACACACACACACATCTCGCCATACCGGTCAACAACCCATGTATCTATAGACACACACATCCTGCCATGCCGGTCAACAACCCATGTATCAATAGACACACGCATCTCGCCATACCGGTCAACAACCCATGTATCCATAGACACACACATCCTGCCATACCGTCAACAACCCATGTATCCATAGACACACACATCCTGCCATACCGTCAACAACTCATGTATCCATAGACACACACACATCCTCCCATACCGGTCAACAACGCATTGATCCATAGACACACACATCCTGCCATACAGGTCAACAACTCATGGATCCATAGACACACACATCCAGCCATACCATCAACAACGCATGGATCCATAGACACACACATCCTCCCATACCGGTCAACAACTCATGGATCCATAGACACACACATCCGGCCATACCGTCAACAACGCATGGATCCATAGACACACACATCCTGCCATACCGTCAACAACGCATGGATCCATAGACACACACATCCTGCCATACCGTCAACAACCCATGTATCCATAGACACACACATCCTGCCATTCTGATCAACAACTCATGGATCCATAGACACACACATCCGGCCATACCATCAACAACGCATGGATCCATAGACACACACATCCTGCCATTCTGGTCAACAACTCATGGATCCATAGACACACACATCCTGCCATTCTGATCAACAACTCATGTGTCCATAGACACTCACATCCTGACATGCTGGTCAACAACCCATGTATCCATAGACACACACATCCTGCCATACCGGTCAACAACTCATGTATCCATAGACACACACATCCTGCCATACCGGTCAACAACTCATGTATCCATAGACACGCACATTCTGCCATACCGGTCAACAACTCATGGATCAATAGACACACACATCCTGCCATACCGTTAACAACCCATGTATCCATAGACACACACATCCTGCCATGCAGGTCAACAACCCATGTATCCATAGACACACACATCCCGCCATACCATCAACAACGCATGGATCCATAGACACACACATCCTGCCATACCGTCAACAACCTATGTATCCATAGACACACACATCCCGCCATGCAGGTCAACAACCTATGTATCCATAGACACACACATCCTGCATGCAGGTCAACAGCTCATGGATCAATAGACACACACATCCTGCATGCAGTTCAACAGCTCATGGATCAATAGACACACACATCCTGCCATACCGGTCAACAACTCATGGATCAATAGACACACACGTCCTGCCATATCGGTCAACAACACATGGATCAATAGACACACACATTCTGCCATACCGTCAACAACCCATGTATTCATAGACACACACATCCTGCCATACCGTCAACAACCTATGTATCAATAGACACACACATCCTGCCAAACCGGTCAACAACCCATGTATCCATAGACACACACACATCCTGCCATGCTGGTCAACAACCTATGTATCCATAGACACACATCCTGCCATACTAGTCAACAACTCATGGATCCTTGGACACACACATCCGGCCATACCATCAACAACGCATTGATCCAAAGACACACACATCCGGCCATACCGACAACAACGCATGGATCCATAGACACACACATCCTGCCATACCGGTCAACAACTCATGGATCCATAGACACACACACCCTCCCATACCGGTCAACAACCCATGTATCCATAGACACACACATCCTGCCATTCTGGTCAACAACTCATGGATCCATAGACACACACATCCTGCCATACCGTCAACAACCCGTGTATCCATAGACACACACATCCTGACATACAAGCCAACAACCCATGTATCCATAGACACACACATCCTGCCATGCCGGTCAACAACCCATGTATCCAGAGAGCAACGCACACATTTCCACGCAGGTCAATAACTCGTATATCTGTAAGTAAACACACACTCGTCCATACTGGCGACCTCAAAAGCTGCTGACCCAACACAACGGCCAACTGCTCCATAGTTAAGGCCCCGTCACCACAGACCCACGTCCATATAGACAAAGACCCATCACAACAGACCACTCGTCCATAAATACAGACCTATCTCAACAGACCACTCGTCCATAACTACAGGCCTATCATTCAGTATCACCTAAAAACACACTGACTTCGCCCGACACCTCGCCTTAATTTCTCAGCAGCTGTTTACTCGCCTCACCTTCAAGGCCGAGCGGTTGTATAGAGACCATTATGCTCAGGAAATACGAGGCTTTCGTCTCAACGAGCGAGCGCTGAAATGCGAGATCCTAAAACGACTCGCGATAGGCCAAGTGCCTTCAAACCGGACCCAGATGATATACGCTGAAAATAAAACAAGGAAATACACTTATATCTGCATTGTCATTGTCTCTGAGGAGCTCAACTCGAGTATTTCCATTCTAGTTTGATACACAGCTTTGACCAATTCGATCTTCGTCTAGATCCCGACCCTTGTCATTGTCCCATCCTCGAGTATCCAGGGTATAATATCTCAATTCTATTTTGATACACGCCCTGGAACCCAATTCGAGCTTCGTCTAGATCCCGACCCTGATAACATGAAGCTTTAAATAACCGCCGTCAAATTTCACACGAGTGAGGTAAATACTCTGCTAAGTAAGCAATAGAGATCGAGATGGTGACGTCACTTCCGGAACGAAGTATTGGTGATGCATGGTTCCAGGGTGTTTTTCATAATTGAATGGAGCTACGATGAGGGACGTTCTTATAAAGAGGATGAATATCTGACCCAAGGTATGCCCCAAACTATGTGGCGACTTCTTCCAAACGTGTTTGTGATTGTACTGGTTGTTCATAGGGCTAGGCAACTTAGATACCATGCCGCAATGGATACCTCACTCCAGGGCCCACTTGCACAAAGCGATCTTAGCGCTACGACTATTGTAAGCCTATGTTAAAGTATGGGAGTTAAGATCATCTTAGCGCTAAGATCGCTTTGTGCAAGTGGGCCCAGACTTCCGAGCCAACTATCCACGTAATGCCGAGCGCCAGGCATAATAACAAGGACCATCTTTTAACGTCCTTTGGTATAAGGTGACCAGGGAATCAAACTACCGACTTTCCGCTCTACAGGCAGACGCTCCATCCACTCGACCATGGAGGCGGCCGGAGAGCAGAGTGAGTGAGTTTAGTTTAACGCCGCTTTTAACAGTATTCCAGTTATATCGCGACGTGTTAGCTTAATGTGGGAGGAAAGCCCGAAGCGATGCATGTCTCAGACGTTTACCGCTTCGGTAAAACCCACGAGCACGGGTATGGTGCTGACAAACCTAGAAACATAATCGGGGCACACCGGGATTCGAACCCACAATCATAGGTTTCTGGCGTGCCCAAGGGACGCAACTCTGCACAGCGAACCGGAATGTAGAACCACCGACCTTCTGCTCTCCGGGGAGACGCTCTATTCAGTAGACCACGCGGGCGGCCGGAGAGTAGAACCATCGACCTTCTGCTCTCCAGGCAGACGCTCCATCCACTAGACCACGGAGGCGGCCGGGAATCGAACTACCGACCTTCTGTTCTCAAGGCAGACGCTCCATCCACTAGACCACGGAGGCGGCCGGGAATCGAACTACCGACCTTCTGCTCTCAAGGCAGACGCTCAATCCACTAGACCACGAAGGTGGCGGGGAATCGAACTACCGACCTTCTGCTCTCAAGGCAGACGCTCCATCCACTATACCACGGAGGCGGCCGGGGATCGAACTACCGACCTTCTGCTCTCAAGGCAGACGCTCCATCCACTAGACCACGAAGGTAGCGGGAATCGAACTACCGACCTTCTGCTCTCAAGGCAGACGCTCCATCCACTAGACCACGGAGGCGGCCGGGAATCGAACTACCGACCTTCTGCTCTCAAGGCAGACGCTCAATCCACTAGACCACGGAGGCGGCCGGGGATCGAACTACCTACCTTCTGCTCTCCTGGCAAACGCACTATCCACTAGACCACGGAGGTGGCGGGGAATCGAACTTCCGACCTTCTGCTCTCAAGGCAGACGCTCCATCCACTAGACCACGGAGGCGGCCGGGAACCGAACTTCCGACCCCCTGCTCTCAAGGCAGACGTTCCATCCACTAGACCACGAAGGTGGCGGGGAATCGAACTTCCGACCTGCTCTCAAGGCAGACGTTCCATCCACTAGACCACGGAGGCGGCGGGGAATCGAACTTCCGACCTGCTCTCAAGGCAGACGTTCCATCCACTAGACCACGGAGGCGGCGGGGAATCGAACTTCCGACCTGCTCTCAAGGCAGACGTTCCATCCACTAGACCACGGAGGCGGCGGGGAATCGAACTTCCGACCTGCTCTCAAGGCAGACGTTCCATCCACTAGACCACGGAGGCGGCCGGGAACCGAACTTCCGACCCCCTGCTCCCAAGGCAGACGCTCCATCCACTAGACCACGGAGGCGGCGGGGAATCGAACTTCCGACCTGCTCTCAAGGCAGACGTTCCATCCACTAGACCACGGAGGCGGCCGGGAACCGAACTACCGACCTTCTGCTCTCAAGGCAGACGTTCCATCCACTAGACCACGGAGGCGGCCAGGAATTGAACTATCGACCTTCTGCTCTCAAGGCAGACGTTCCATCCACTATACCACGGAGGCGGCCGGGGATCGAACTACCGACCTTCTGCTCTCCTAGCAGACGCACTATCCACTAGACCACGGAGGTGGCGGGGAATCGAACTTCCGACCTTCTGCTCTCAAGGCAGACGCACTATCCACTAGACCACGGAGGAGGCGGGGAATTGAACTTCCGACCTTCTGCTCTCAAGGCAGACGTTCCATCCACTAGACCACGGAGGCGGCCGGGAATCGAACTTCCGACCTTCTGCTCTCCAGGCAGACGTTCCATCCACTAGACCACGGAACAAAAATACAAAGCAAAGTCAATCAATTTAATTTTTTATTTGAACACATGGCAGTGAATACAGCATGCGGTCTAAACTCGAGGACGAGACAGCAGCCGCACAAAATGGAGACTAAGAACACGTGACCAAACACGTGACTATAGCCCCAATTTCGTACATATCGCTTTTGGCACAGATTAGCTATGCCGTATTTATAGTCAGCATTTGCAAGGGATGTACAGGCACCTGGTGATTAAATCGTAGTGTTAAATTAGCCTATATTATGTTGAGGTGCATATCACCCACAAATGATTTTATGAAAATCAATATATCAGCAATATGAAGTATAGGATATACGTAAATGCATGGTATATAACTCTATAATAAATAAGCAACGTTGATATAAAAAATAACATAGATATAACTGGTTTGCCCCAACCAATATAATCGGCAAAAATGGATCAGATGAAATTACAAGAAAAGTGACAAAAACTTGGAAGTTGAAAGTTGATTGATTGAAACTTATTTTTAAGAATTCTGTCTTGAACAGATGCACATTTGATATCACAGATGCAAGGAATGTGTGCAGTCACATTTGATGAATGAAAATATATCTGCATTGATATATCCCCTACCATGAAAAAACTATGTACCCATGTACTTCAACGATGATAGCACGCTTACGTTTCTAAGAAACTTTTAAACAACGTAAACAAACTCTTTCTATAAACTCAACAACAGTGATCTACATATATCATAAACATAGAGCTACATAATAAAACATAAACAACAATACAAAATAAACAGATCAAACACTGCTTGTGATAAAAGCGTCATAGTATCCTCGGAAAACAAGCAGAATATGCTCTTCCGACAGGAAAAAATGTTTTGCAAAAGTACATTAAAAGAGCACTGAAAAAATACGACCCTTAGTTAACAATATACCAGAGGGTAGCATCATGTCAATCAGCACTAAGCTTTATCCTAGAATTACTGTATGGCAAGCTGCCACCACTTGGTAAATTATTGTACTTACAAGTTGAACACATTATTTTTGTATTGCAAAGCTTTTGTCAAGCTGTTAATCGTACTTTAACCATAGTGTCGTCCTTGGTAGTATTTCTAAATGACACAAGTACTTCCCATCAGGTACTGAAAATAGTGGACGTGTCCACCTCGACATCAGCAAGATGGCGAAGTTTGTTGTTACCACCCACAAAATGCGGATCTGCATTCTTTTGCGATCGTCTGGTCCCGAATCAGGAGATCCAAAACCTTTCTGTACAATCGTCCATACAAACAATTTGTATTGTCCATTCACTCCTTGGAGGAACTGTCAAATTATCAATTTGTATTGTCCATACACTCACTGGGGGAACTGTCAAATTATCAATTTGTATTGTCCATACACTCACTGGAGGAACTGTCAAATTATCAATTTGTATTGTCCATACACTCACTGGAGGAACTGTCAAATTATCAATTGGTATTGTCCATACATTCCCTTGAGTAACTGTCAAATTATCAATTTGTATTGTCCATACATTCCCTTGAGGAACTTGCTGATTTCTTCATAAAACGAAGATTTCGAGTTCATGTTGATCTTTCACCAACAGTCAGATTCGCCACCTTGCGTTCCTTCCTCACGATGTGGTCTGCTATTAGATATCCAACCAGGGCCAGCACACAGATCCCCGCCATGATATAGATCTTCGTGGCCATACAGAAGAACTGGGCGTAGGCAAAGGCGATGGTTGGTCCTAGACCCTGCATCACCCTCATCCCAGTGAAGGCCTCCTCGAACTGGTCTGGAAACAACACGCCCATGAGACCTGGGAAAAGAGATCGTTAGAAAATAACTGCAACGAAAATATAACTTGTAGTTATAAAGTCGATGATGGCTGAAAGTGTGAGAGCGAGTGGTTTTGATGGTGAGGTGGGGTGAAATGGGGTTTAACGTCGCCTCCAAGATTATTGTACTTATATAGCGACGTGCATGCACGTGTGTGTGTGGCTGCTTGTTCTAGTCCGGACTGATGCCGATTTATAGTGCCAGCTCACTGAGATACCATGCCGCATGAAGACCCCACTCAGACACAGTATACTGACTCCGAGCCGACCAGTCCTTGTTTTAGCCCCTTAATGCCGAGCGCCAGACAGGGTAACAACAAGTGTATGTTGACGCGGTCGGGGATCGAATTTCGGACCTTCCGCTCTCCGGGCGGACGCTCTACCACTAGACCACGGAGGCGGTAAGTGGTTTTGGTAATATTCTAGCATTGTCACGACGGGGGACACCACAAATGACTTATGTGTTGAACCTAACGCTTTTCATCAAAAGAGCAACGCCACCACCACGGGCTGAATATGATCCCAATAAAATAAATTATGATTATTTTTATTCATGACCCTTCATTGAGTGAGTGAGTAAGTGAGAATTGAGTTACGCCGCCTTTAGATATATTCCCGCAATATCATGTCAGGGGACACTGAAAATGGTCTTTACCCATGTGGGGAATCGAACCAAGGCTTATGGCGTCAACGCATTAACCTCGAAGCTACCCCATCGAACTTTCTCCGAACCAGTTATGTGTTTGAGACCTTCTGCCTTTTTCAAAGAACAGCCCCTTTCATAAGCTAATACTATTTTGTGAAACGATAGTAATTGAATACCTTTATTGACGTCTTAACTCGTACACACACTATTGTATCGCTAGCAGATATCCCCTTGTTAAAACTCACTGTTGCTTTGGGCCATCCAGATTCCGTCGCCAACTCCCCACAGGCCAATCAGAATAAAGATAACAATAAGCGAATCGGGAGTAGGCTTCCATATTGCCATAAGGGCCAACAGGCCAAGATCGACAGCGACCGCTAAAAAGAGAACAAAATATCCCTATTGAAAGACATGGCACACATGCACAGCCGACCCTTCACACAACCGTAGTTCCAAATGAACATTGGAGAAAGAGACAGGAGATTTTGGAGGGTAAATTTCCCATTCTATGTCTTTAATAAATTCACTAGTGGTATGAAAACCGCATTCTGTGTACATTGGAGTTATCCCGCTTTTCTTTGACGCAAGGCAATCGCCAGTGATGTAAGCACCTTTCAAGCATTGTAATTCAAGTCTGTACGCCATTATTCACAGTTAACAGTGAATGCGTTGTGTCCGCTCAAACGAACAGTGCTTTCCATTGAACTTCATTGTAATAATAGCAATACACATGTGTGATTCGGTTTTCTATATACATTTCTACACCATAAGGCGACAATTGATGACTAAGCGTCAGACTTTTGCGAGTCCTTTAGAGTCATCATCAATGTATTAGACACACAGTGAAAACGCATCATTAGTTCGCAATGAACGACAAGAAAAGGATTCAGCAGTGAATATTTACTACCATGAGCATAAAATGGGATTCGAACCCGATCAACGACATTGCTATACTTGATTATATCATGCTTAAATACACAACATTATTGGATTTTTGTGGCAATTTTGCCAAATATTACACAAATTCAAATATGCGTTCTTAAAGTGTGTCAGTATATATCTTTTAAGTTGAAGTCTACACCTCCAATCACATATGTGTATTGCTTGGTTGAAACACGTGAATATATAAACATCTAATACATAATCTTTCTCGCTCTCTCATACCAGAAATATTCTGATACAAACCACGCATTCTTAAACTAATAACAGTTAACTATAAACAAACAGCTCAACCTAAGGAAAGGGCTAGTCGCGAGCAGGCTCAGTCATCTACGGGCGGCAGTGGCGAAGAGTAACGCAATCGATAACTACAGGGCAACGAGATCGATAACTAACCAATCAATAATGACAGAAGTAAGGTCTGACCCCTCGTTGACAGAAGATGCACTTGGCCGGACGTGTCCACTCAGCACGAGACAATTACCAGTCGGACTCGTGGTGTTCTGATCACTGCCCTAGGAAATGTGCATCCTTTGTCAGCGGTCACGTGGGCGTCACGTGATAGGTCAACAGTACTGGCGCACATAAAGCTGACTCACCCTCTGAGTCATCGATTTCGCTTGCTGAGTTCTATTTCAGAAATCTTATTTCATCATGGGAACGAGCTAATGATTTGAGACCAATAACACCATGGATATATTGAGGCGGCCAACGGTGAAACGGGTCTGACACAGGTAAACCAGGTGTCGAGCACCCGTCAGGGGACAATTACAGCAATACCAAAAAATTATTTATTTTCCATTGTGAGCTTCATTCAACAATTGAGATCGTGGCTGTAGTATTTGCAAAGTTTAGCATTATTCAGACCGTGTCACGATAGAAGACAACGGGCTTCACTCATAGTCCGGCAGAATCGAACCAAATCTTCGTGACGAATTATCGCTTCCACTACCTGATCTCTATTCAAATATTAATAATATCAGCAAGCCAGTACTGCTTATATCAATACACCATTTGATGCACTGGATGATGCTAGTATAGATCTTATTAAAATCTTTCTTTTAATGTTTTCACGTTTATACGCCCAATCGCATAAATTGAAAAAACATGTAACAGGTTTTTGTCAGTATAGATATTTCAATAGTATCGAGTGCACCAAATATACACGGTCACGTAAGTACAAATTACAGTACTGAATTTAAAACAAAACAAAATAACAATATGGCTGTAACTACCCACAATGCAACATAACCTTGCGGTGCCAACAAAGTCTTTCTCGCCGCCTACAAATCTAACGATGGATTCACAGACGCGCCAGTTCAGAGAGTTTGGCGTTGCGAAACTTATTGAGGATTACTTACATTTATCACTCATACTTACCTGGCCGATACTCCAACAGGATAAATCCTGTGAATGATAAACTGAATATTAACTAAAAGCCTGGTGTATATAAGCTAATATTGAAAAAGTCTAAGTAAAAGGCATCATCTATCTTATCCAAAGAATTATGTTGGAACCAATCGTAACTCACTTTACAAGAAGTTGAATTAATAATTCATAATTAGTATGGTAATAGTGTTTTTATATTGTTTATATTTTTTCTTGTAGAATTAATCGGAAGAATGTTTTTATTCTTATTATCTTCAAAGATTTCCGTGTTGAAAATTGATCTTAGATGAAGCCTTTCGTTAATTCTATATGTAAGTAAATATACAAATTGACCTCACTGCCAATACATAAGTGAGTGTCTGTGTTTCTGATTAAAGCTGTGTTGTTTGCACGAATCGTTTATAAGTATACATTGTGTCACAATTCACTGCACACCTCGAGATAATTTCAACAATTCATGGTTTTTTTCAAATTCATGATCCAATCGAAATGATACTATATTCATAGATATATATTCTCAGCACGTCAGTAATGAAAACTATTATCATTTCCCGTAAAGAATGTTTTCACTCTTGATCATTGTCAGGAAGTATCGACAAACATATGATAATTAATTATAGGTTTTTTTGTGGTAATGAGCCCGTTTTTTCATAATTTGTTGAAACAATCTATATGATACAGATTTAATCCTTTCACTCTGATGTGATGCAAATAGAAATAAAATAAATTATGACTTGCAGCAGCTGATTCCGATCAGTTCATTGTGACCTGGTACTTACATCGTTAAGACGAAGTGTACAAAAAGTTTAAACCCTCAAAAAACATACATGTATTTTAACGACTAAACACACACATGCAAACGCGCACGCAAACGTTTACGCGAACGAACGCATGTTAAACACACACGCATTTATTGATCGTCCACAACGTAGCACATGTATGCTTTTTAGTCAACGCAGAATAGAATCTGCTGCTGCAAGTCAGATCGGTGACAATACATAGCCAAAGTTTAATGGAAGCAGCTTTGACCCCAAAAAACATTTTCACAGAAAAGCGGGACTTGTTTCTCCAATGCTAAAACTAATCACAAAACAAATACAACCTACATTCCCTGAGTCAGGAACAAAAAATAAATTCCTCTTTGTCCAAATTCACAGAAACATTCGGTTGTGCGATTCGGGACTGACGTTTGGTCTCCCAGAGGAGACCCAGTGTTCATTGTCAACAAGCAAGCACGCTAGCACCTGTCGCCTTACCGTGGTCCTAGGCATGACTGCGCATGCCCATTACTCACCAATCGGAAAACGTTCCCCTTTTGACGTCACTGACGGGGGACTTTTCCGTTAACGAGAGACATGATGGAGGGAAGACTTAATTTGAGAGTCGCACTCAGCATGGAGAATGGATTCTTACAATGCTGCCTTGTGGTGATATACCAAACCTAAATTCAAGAGACTGAAACAGGAACATAGCATATGCATTGTCTGACAGATGGGAGGGCGGATAACTAGCCCGCCAGCCCAAACAAGGGCTGGCACAGGTGATGCTAATGGCGGCCATTTTGACGGCCATATTGAATCACCACTACGAAGATGTAGCAAGCCAGCTATCCTTGGCGATGCAATATGAAGGACGTGGAATGATATGATGGATGTCATTTTAAAATATTATTCTGAAATCGAGTTCTGATTTTTATTATGGAGTTTCATTCATGATGAGAGAATGTTTTTTGTCGTGATGTACAGAGAGGAAATGCTTAGCAACCACAAGTTTCATTGTCTTCATAAACTTCTCACGGTGATTCTGTGGAATTAATATTTCTTTATTTCTGAAATTGAATTAATGACAATTCAACCATTCAACTTGTGATGGCACGATCCGGGAAGAAAATGATGGTGATTAAACAAATAGGACATTCAAGTTACAGTTTAAACACAATGATAGATGAATAATAAAGATTCTGCTGATGCAGCTCCATGTTTACCAAATGAAGCATATATCAAAGAATTATGGAGCGAAATATAATTAACCCTTCTTAATGAAACTGACGAAAGATAACAAGGGACGTACCTGCGCCGATCATGACCGTCCGGCCCAAGTATCTACAGAGCCACCCGCTGAGGTAGGCACTGACGCTACCCGACACACCCATGCAGATCAGGGTATACCCAACCATATGAACTCCAATTGGGCACGTCACAAACGCCTGAAGAAATAGATGCAAGGAACGTTAAATAACTAGAATTTACACAAAAAAACCTGAAGACATAAATATGTTTAACGTTCATGTAAATAAACTGCAAGCGCAGTTATTCAATTATATTTTTTTATTTTATTATTTTATTATTTAACACCAGTCCAGAAATACCGTACAATAAGAACCGTCCGCCGTATTTACCGTTATTTAATACGTTTTTTGGTTTGTTTGTTTGTTGTTTAACGCCGCACTCAGCAATATTCAAGCTATATGACGGCGGTCTGTAAATAATCGAGTCTGTACCAGACAATCCAGTGATTAACATCATGAGCATCGAGCCACGCAATTGGCATACGATGACATGCATCAACCAAGTCAGCGAGCCTGACCATCCGATCCCGTTAGTCGCCTCTTACGACAAGCATACTCGCCTTTCACGGCAAGCATGGGTTGCTGAAGAACTATTCTACCCCGGATCTTCACGGCTCTTGGGAAATTGATAATGGTTTGTTTCTTTATCAGCAAATAAAGGAGAGTGACAGCATTTCTCACCTTTGCAATTTCACCGCTGGCGAAAGCTGCCTGCATCTGGCTGAACAGGAGAAGGGGGCAAAGCAAGAGGAACTTCCGGTTTAAGGCGAACCTGCCAAGGGAGACAATCTGCGACTTGACAACGCTGCATGAGATAGTGGCACTGAAAAGACGACTGTTGAGAGGTTCCAAGAGGAAGAAGGCGATAATAACCGCAAAGAACATCACTCCCGCGTAGACGCCATACAGCACATACTTGGCGAATGAATTGTCAGTCGATCCTGCATTGCTGATGGTGTAATGGTGACAGTAGCTTGCTCCGCACAGCGCATAGTCGGATGACGGTGATGAGGAGTTTAGTATCACAGACTCATTGGGGAAGGAAAACCTGGATTGGTTCATAAATGTAAGTGTTTGATTCATGACAGTATCGTTTGACGTTGTACTGGAAGCGGTAGTTCCAGCGGGGGTCGCGTATGTGAGAACGAGAGAAGCAATGAGGTTGCCAAAGATCATATACAGTTGCCACACAAGATAGAAGATGCCGAAAAATCGACTGAGGACAATTTCGTAATCTTGTTTCTTCTTCTCGGAGTAGCCTTTGGCCAGGAAGGTGATATAGGTGCTCATAGCGTTCCACATTAATGCAAAACTGACCCCCCATAGTAAGGAGACGGGGGTCATTAGCCAAATTACTGGGTAGAAGTTTGCGGCTATGTAAAGAAGGTAAGGAAGCATGGAAACCAGAAGAGCGCGGTAGGGGTGGAAGTTCTGGACGAGGAAGGGGCTGAATACGCTACCAATCATAAACCCCATGAAGGTCATAGCCAACGATATTACGCCCACCCCTCCTTCGTGATTGAGGCTGGTCTGAAGGTTACGGAGCGTTCCACTGGCGATGAAAGCCATTGTTATGCTAACACTGAGAGCAATGAGGTTGCGCGTGTGGCGCCCGCTGGGGACGATGTTATGGTCAACATCATAAGGACCCTTCCCGTCTTCGGGGGGCAGCTTGGACACGTCTTTAGTACTCCCGGGTAGAAGGAGAGAGCTGGCCACCCGTTCATCCTGAAGGTACTTCAAGGCTTTCTGACAGGCGAAGGTTATGTTGCTCGTGCTTGAGAGATCTCTCTGTGAGGACATGAACCCAGGATGGTCGATAAGACCAAGGACTGGGGTCTCCACTTCCTTCACAAAGTTACGGAGGTTGTCCGTTGTGTTGAGAAGGGGCTGACTAGCGGAGAAGTGAGACGTCACGGAATCCGTGTAGTTTCTGTTTTCGTAACAGTCTATCACAACATCGTTGATGGAGATCTTGGGGGAGAGCGACACGTCGTGGTTTGATTGAGCACAGCCGTCAACGATGACGTCATTGTCTTTGTCTTTCAGTGGCAGCAGGAACTTTGAACTGTCCGCACTGCCGACTGAGTCGGTGTAGTCGCTGTTGAAGGGATCTGCGTGGACGTTGTCCTGCCTCTTGTCTGACGAGTGTACAGGACCATCTGAAGACGCCATGTCGCGATGCTGGTTCTCATCCTCTGTTCTAGAAACAGCGTAACAATCGTCACTTCTGTTGATAGCCATGTCTGGCATTTCAACTCGCGATGACCTTTGGTTATTGACGTCTGTTTCTGGTGCCAATCTGCCGTTGTCATTGGCAACGGTCCCCGGCTGTGACGTCAGACTCTGACCATCACACGTCTTTCCCGCCACCATATTGCTGAATCTGAAACATAGTTATAGCAGGCCTCGTTATCAGGGAGCAGACGTTATCCCTTTGTCTGTAGATAGATACATGCGCCATGACGTTGTTAGACTCGGTGGCACTTCATGTCACAAAAAAACAAGGCACTTAATATGATTGACATTAAAACCTAAATAATGGCGGACCGCTATCATCCCATTTTGGTCTCACAAATCGTACGTCTCTCTCAACGTGACAAGAGATATCATATAATATTATCATATTGGGATACTTTCAAGGTCATGGGCAAAGTTTGTCTGACGGTCACGGCAACAAGGTCCGCTGCAGCTGTGTGAGTGAGTAAGTTGGGTTTTACCCCCCTATAACAGTATTCCAGTTATATCACGGCGTGTCAGCTTAATGTGGGAGGAAAGCCCGAAGTGATGCAGGTCTCAGACGTTTACCACTTCGGTGAAACCCACAAGCACGGGTATGATGCTGACAAACCTAGAAACATAATCGGTGCGAACCGGGATTCGAACCCACAATCATAGGTTTCTGGCGTGCCCAAGGGACGCAACTCTGCACAGCGAATCGCGGCGCCTTAGACGACTGGGCCACCCGTGCCTCCTGCAAATTGTGTCTACTTTGTCATCCGTCAACTTCTAAGAAATGCCTATCACATTTGTTTCTATCAAAATTATATATTTTAAGAGACTAAGCGTTAGTCTAGGCCGGCCACTAAGTGGCTCAATACAAAGCGATGTTTCACATGCTTGTTTCAAGCTGCCAGTGAGGTTGACCCGTACGTGACCTCGGCTTCTGTTAATGTTGTTTCTGAAATCAGTTCACTCATGACCTTACACGCGAGAAACCGCCCCGAGATCAGACATGAGTTATATAGCGAGGGTGGTGCAGACAGTCTGGTCAATACCATAAGTAAACGAATCGGCTGGAACCCATGAATGTTCTTGATGAGTGGTCAATAGTCCTGACAGCTGACCACATCTTCCTTCAATGACATCGTGTCCAGAACAAGGTCAAATAATCTGCATTAATGTCTTCATTGGTATTTGGAGCCACGGCTGGCCCAGTTGCCTGAGGCGCCGCAATTCGTCGTGCAGAGATGCGTCCCGGGCGTGCCAAAAAATATGAGGGCTGGTGGGGTAGCCTTGTGGTTAACGCGTTCGTTCGTCACGCTGAAGACCCGGGTTCAATTCTTCAAACGGGCACAATGTGTGTCATTTCTGTTGTCCCTCGCTGCGATATTGCTGGAAAATTGCCAAATGCGGCGTATAACTATATTCACTCACACTCAAAAACTTTTGATTGTTAGTTCGAATTCCAGATAGTTGGTTCGTCTTCGCCATACCGATGCTTGTGACATTCACCAAAGGTGCGAATGCCTACGACGTGAAGAACTTAGGGCTTTCTTTCCCGAGAAGTTGATACGCCAGCACCGAAATACTGTTCAAAGCGGCATTGAAGCAAACTCCCCTACTAATCTGTATTTTAATGGCGTGATGTAAATAAAATCCTGCCGTTGGACACGCTCATTCGTCCATCTTCCCGGGGCAAGGGAGTTAACTGACTGCAAACGGAAACTGGACTTTTAGAGTTAACTCCCTTGCCTCAGGGAGATGTCATATTCGTCAGTATTATCAACACACTCAGTACTTTTGACGATAATCCCACATGATCAACACGTAATACCAGGATCACCGAGGAAGGTATTCGTATATGTGTGTTACTGAACAAACACGCTGGCCGAACGCCTTTATCACTGGGCTGTCTTACCGTCCAAAAGGGACACTCCCCAGTTATAGTATTCAAGTAACGCCACGGCGTGTCAGTTTCTTGTGAGGGGAATCATAATCGAAGCGAACCGGGATTCGAACCCACGATCATAGGTTTCTGGCGTGTCCAAGGGACACAACTCTGCAAGCTAATTACGGCGCCTTAGTGAGTGAGTGAGTGGGTGAGTTGGGGCTAACGCCTCTTTTAACAGTATTCCAGTTATATCATGGCGTGCCAGCTTAATGTGGGAGGAAAGCCCCAAGTGATGCATGTCTCAGACGTCTACCACTTCGGTGAAAACCACGAGCACGGGTATGGTGCTGACAAACCTAGAAACATAATCGGGGCGAACCGGGATTCGAACCCACAATCATAGGTTTCTGGCGTGCCCAAAGGACGCAACTCGGCGCCTTAGAAGACTGGGAGACCAGAAATGAGCTTGATCTTTTGCAGCGATTGTTGGATTTGAACCCTAAGATGAATCAACTGACATTTCAATTGCATGCCTGACCCATCGCGCCAGTCGGAACTCGTAAAGCAATTACTGCTGCAATATATGCCGTCATTCTCATGCTACACGTATGATGTGAATACAATACATGGCCTACATACACCTGGCTGCCATAATCTTTCAGCAATAAAAAGGTCTTGCTTATGTCACAATACATACCTTTTGAATTAGCTATTTAGCCAGCTGTTTGTGCTGGTTGGCTGAGCGTGATCACGTCAAGGCGTGTGTGCATTTCACACCAGTATGTTTGTGGCAAGTCGTTATTGCCTTGTATGTTACGTAAAACGACGGATGCTTTTTATGGTTCTCTTTACAGCGTCCAGTCATAGTCATGCAAGCATGTTCACTATCGACATGGCTGTCATTTGCTGCAGCATGTACAAGCTTGTTGGTGTCATTCGAGATCACGGGTGTTAGGTTTCACATAAAAGGTTAAGGTAGGATCCACTACTTCATATATATTTGTTTCTTATTTATTTTTTTACAAAAATATATATATATTTTATTTTTATTTTTTATTATTACTTTCACTTTTTTCTTTCTTTCTTTTTTTTTTTGGGGGGGGGGGGCTGCGAAGGTTGGAGTATTTGGGATTTTTGTTATAGGCGTGATATATATCGAGTGAGTAGTGTTTTATGCCGCTTTTAGCAATATCACGCAATATATAAAATTAAATCGCTTGTTACGACATCACGGGGAAATTCAATGCGTCATTACACATTAGATTTTAGATTTTAGATTTTACATTGTAGATTTTAGACGTAGATGTGAAAGAAGGGCATTGGAATGGGTATGTGTAAAAACTGCCAATTAGGGGAGACAGAGGATGAATTTCATGTTATATTTGTATGACTTGCGATAAATATGAACATCTTAGAGAAAAGTATGTTCCGATGTTTAACAATAGGCATAAAAAGAAGATGTTAATGATCAGTCTTATAAAATCCAACAACTCTGCTGTTATACGTTCATTAGCCATATTGTTGAAACAAAATTTTCTGTCAGATAGTTTTTATATATCATGTATATCACGTGAATAAACAAATGAAACTGAAAATGTTAACTTACAATGGACCAATGTGGCCTTAAATGCCGAATATAATACATCGATCTATCATATATATCAAGCATATTAATAAATAAAACAAAGACTATTATATTTATATGTTCGCAATTAATCTGCAGTTAGATGAAGTCCAGACATATTTAATTAAAATACAATGCTGAAATAATTGTATGTTTATTGCAAAATCAATATATGTATATTGTAAGTCAGTGATATATATACATCTGATTGACAGCTGTGTTTGCGCTATATCACATGAATAAGTCCGTCTATGTCTATATAATCAATACTGCGAGCGTCACGATGACGCTCTCACGACTGCCTCGTCGATTTGTTAGCGGCTAGCACCCTACTGAGAATCTATATGGATCGATATCCCTTTGGCGTTGCTGGGAGAATGGAGAAATGCGTATATGGAATGGTGTGAGAGGGCTCAAGTCCAAGGTTATTGCACTGATATAGCGACTTGCATACACGTATGTGTGTATGTACCAGTCCGGACTAATGCCGATTTTATAGTGCTAGCCCGCTGAGATACCATGCCGCAGTTTAACATGAATACCCCACTCAGACATACTATTCTGACCGACCAGTCCTTGTTTTAGTCCTCTAATGCAAAGCGGCAGGCAGGGTAACAACAAGTTCCATCTTTTAACGCCGGACCATCGCTCTCTGGGCGGACGCTCTACCACCAGAACACGGAGGCGGTCGGGACGGCACGAAATGTTATCATATAACAAAATATTTTCATTCAACATACAGATGTCGGATTATATAATAAGAATCAATGTGACCGAGGTTATTATCAATGCTCCTATACAAGTATTTCCACGTAGTGACATATTTGTAACAGAGCAATATAAATACTTATACTAATACTACTACTACTATAACGCTAGAGTGTACTATACGATCGATTTATCGAGAATTCTTTGATATACCAAATAAACAGATCAAAACAAACAAAATATGAAAATTGAAAATATTATCAAAGGAGTTATCAAATTACACACGTGCTTAACCCAAATAAGTCTATCAACATCCGGAAAAAAAGAGTGTACTGTCGCCGGAGAACCATGAAAATGTCACTCGCTGTCAAAACATGACCGTATCGTCGCGATCGACAACAGGTTGCCATGACAACATCTAAATTTGGCCGCATCAGCTGTCATAAGGAAGTATGGGTGACTGTTTTCATTGTCATATTTCCCTCAGGGTAATGTCAACCTTCCACACCCAATAGACTAACGCATAGTCTCTAAATACATAATTTTGATAGAAACAAACAACTCCATCTAAATTGAACAGTGAGAATAGAGACTCGGACTCTGTGTAAAATATAGACTTGCTTCATTTTGGGCTATAGCATTACAGCAAAGGGCTGGGCTCGGGGAGGGGGAAATAATATATGGTAGGCAGACTACACACCTTTATATACCTGTGTCTGCGTTCGTTCGTGTGTGTATGTCCGTGCGTGTGTCCTCGCGCCCCTTTTTCACCTAAATGTCATCATTTATCGAAACTGTTCAGTTTCACGTAACAGCTTGTGCTCGGTCAGGGCCCTGTGCGACAGGGAGGCTTGAATACGGAAGCCTTTTAGGGCCATTTGTTGTTGTTTTTGTTTTTTTCGATACTTTCTTGAAATTTCAGATACTAAGTTGAAATTTCAAGATACTAAGTTAAAACTTCAAGATACTAAGTTGAAATTTCAAGATACAAAGTTGAAGATACCAAGTTAGTATCTTGAAATTTCAAGAAGAAAAATGGCCCTAAAAGGCTTCCGTACTTTAATACCCTTGTTTTGATTACACTCCCGCGGGTCAACATTCGCAGCTGAAAACGATGACATCGACCCAGTAGCGTGCACATATGCAAACATTACGTACCATGTGGGTTCTTACTCGATCAACAGCACCAAGTGAACCTGACTTACATCGGACAATAAACAGATCTCCTTGACCCGTAAAATAAAGGGTCGAAGTCCGGCGTTGGCAGTAAATACTATTACAATACGCTAGGACAAAACCCTCGAGACCTGTTTCTGTTTCACCTACATTGTATACTGCGAAAGCAGGTTGTGTATGGGTGGCTGAGCACTGATCAACACAGGGCATTAAACTTTCTAACCAGTCAGCCAAGACTCAGATCTACTGTTAACAACTTTCGTCATTATGTCCCTCTTTTGGAGTATGTCTACAATTTTTTTTACCTAATTGAGTTTTAGTATGCTTCTCAGATGACATGAATGAAAAAGAAGTTAAGTTTGTCACACTGACAATGAGTAGTTTTTATTTGTTGCGACCTGAAGCGATAAGAGCAATCTTAGTTGGATTACAGATTCCAATTCAACCAATTCATCAACTGTAATGGAACGACACTCCCAATCACCACATATATATATATATATATATATATATATATATATATATATATATATATATATATCCTGCACTCAGCTGTGTTCTGTATTTGCACAGTCAGCGCTTTTAAATTTGCAGTTAGATAATGTAGGCGTGGGGCCATAAGATCTGCAGCTGGTGATGCTAGATAACGACCCGCAGGCGATTTACATTATCTCTGTACAGTAAACTACGCTTATAACCAACCGACTGGTATGAGGAACTAATTTCTTTGTACAGCCCTTATGCTGTATATATGCTTATAACGAACTACGGTCATTACGAACTAAAATTAGTGGTCTCTTTGAGTTCGTAATAACCGTAGTTTACTGTACATCATTTATCCCGCAGAAACACACAGATAGAATTTGTCACAGCTGGTTCGACATACTATGTTTTGCTGCCGTCACTTAACGGACGAGAAGTGAACATAGACCACATGGCCACCCCACCAACACTGACTTAGGCTATGAGTGAGTGAGTGAGTTGGGTTTAACGCCGCTTTGAACAGTATTCCAGATATACCACGGCGTGTCAGTTGAATGTGGGAGGAAAGCCCGAAGTGATGCAGGTCTCAGACGTTTACCACTTGATGAAGTCCAAGAACACTGGCGATGTGCTTACAAAACTAGAAATATAAACCCGACGAACTTGTATTCGAAACTACAATCATCGGTCTGAGCCAATCAGCGAATAAGCGGAACTAATTACTGCGCAGGACCGGTGACTTGGTACTGCCCAAATGTCATCACATGTTTTAAGGAAAACGTGCAGTCCATGAGTATGGAGCCTGATCCTTTGAGTTTAAAATGTTAATTCTTTTTACTGCCAACATTTAAAGATCTATTCTCTCGGCCTTCCGAACAACGTGGAGTCCTTGTCTAGGTATTCGTGTTGGTCTTCTCTTGACTGTTGAACCGCCTCACACCGCCTCACACCGCCTCACACTCACTCTCAGGGGCTACGGTGTTCCCTTGGATTAATCATCCATCACTCGCGTTTTTCCGTACTAATGAAAGACGCATTCGGCTTATTCCGGAATGGCACGAGTGTCAACGAATGTTGTGAGTCAAATTCGAGAAGTCAACGATGCCTTTTGCGTCCGAGAGTACAAGTAAAAGAATAGACAATCCTTTCGTAAAAAAAACAGGTTGGAAAATGGGTGAAAGTTTCGCAGCGATTCAAACTATTTCCGTCATTTTAAGCGAGTGTTGTTTTACGACGTATACAGCAATATTCAAACTTCATCACGACGGCCTGTAAATGTCGATCCTGGACCAGACAAACCAGTGACTGAACACATGAGCATCGACCTACGACATCGGGGCACGTAATAAGCCAGGACGCAGATCCTGTCTGCCAGAGCCTGTTCAATCTGCTCATTACACAGCCATGGGATGCTAGGTCCTCCTCGTCCAAACAATCCCTCATGGGTAACGTCAGCTCGACAACCCACATTTAAGAAAAATCTTAAAAGATTAAATCCAGTTCCCTTTCGTGCTGTTCAAACGCTTAAGAAGCCAATACCTATCGGTGGACAATGAAAACGCTATTCCATCTATGTAACTAGCGGACTAAAACATGTTCAAAGGGTACTTAAAGCCTTTTGTATGTTCAATATGACTATGCACCGAGCCACATCTTGATTACAAACGAACTTATTCATCGAAATATGGAAGTATTTGTCCATGAACTTCTCAGTGGAATATGTTTAAAGTGTTTCGATTCAGTGAAGGAGAAAATAGTATGACGTTTGTCCTCCAACGGCACGTGATCAATGCGAGAAACCAACTGTTTGCATGTACACGAAAATAAACGGGTACAATCCGGTACAGGCTGGAAATATTGACGTGAAGTCTTGTTCGACTGGTTCGTGGACTGCCATTGCAATCACTCCGATCCTCTCGGCTAATTCCGCCACCCACATCACACCTCGGGCAGAACCGGAGTATTGATGCAACATTGTATTCGCGGTAAAACGGATCCTGACAGATCCTGCAGCATTGAGTAGGTACAGCTGGGCGACAATAATGTATGCTGTAATAAGTATTTAGTTGTACATCCTGACCCGGCGTTAAAAATAACAAAATAAGCCCATTTCAATATTTCAATATATATACGGCGAAAGATCTTGCGTGGATAAAGGAGTTTTGACAAGCACGAAAATCTGATGAATAAGGGAACACAAAGTTTTAGACACAGAACGAGGATATGCTATAATGGGTTCCCGGGCTTGTCAAGATACACGTTGGAATCAATGCACACAAACTCATCTCAACATTTGATTCTAACATATGTTTAATTTGTATGGCGCTATTTCGAATGTGCTGACACAAAATCTTATTTCCCTATATTTATCATTGTTCCCTTTTCGTTTCCATGAGTATATATATAACTGTCATGGCTGCTGTGGTCGGAATCAGTTGTGTCATGTGACGGTCACGTGATGAAACTGATTCCATTATGGATCGCCCCGAGCGCTGACCGAGAAGTCCTACGTATACGAACACGAGTGCGCGATCATAAAAACAAGCAATGTGTAAACATAAACAGTCCGATTATAGCTGCAAGTGGCCCTCGCGTGATGCGTAAAAGTCATCTTGCAAAATGTCAGCTCAGATACATCCATATGGGAAATATACATCTGTAAAAAAATAAAATTATACTTTCCATTCAGTAAACCTTAGACTGTGTGGTGTGGTTTTTTTTAAATAAAATTGTTGTTTAACGCCGCAATCAGCAATATTCCAGCTATAACACAGCAGTCTGTAAATAAATAATCAAGTCTTGACCAGACAACCGAGTGTTTCACACCATGCGCATCGATCTACTGGGACACGATGGCATGCAACAACTAGATCAGGGAGGCCCTTACCTCTATATTCTAATCCGGATCTTTGAGAACTAGTCTGACTAGAATCGTGCATGGTTATATCTCCTTTCTGTGGTGATAAATACCATTGACAGCTCGTTTTAGGGTCAAAATCGAAATTCTAAATATAGCCGTCCAATCACATAACACACACGAGCGAGAGAAAATCTGAGGTCGGCTAATGATAAGAAAGTTGAAGATAGTGACGTCACTTCCTATCCGGTGAGGTCCGTTTCGTCGGGTGAACGGAACTTTGATAGCGAATGTCTCCATTGGATGTATAATAAAAAACACTGGGTAATCGAGGATTTACTTAAACCTGATTTCGTGGCACGTCATCAGATGTTCCTTTAAAGGTCAGTTCTACACACATTGGATATCACAAGTTCATTTTTTTACTCCTAAATCATTCTTTGTAAGGGTTTGGTTTAATTTTGATCTATGACTCTGTTAATCGTGTGCTTCAGCGTGAACTCCGCGAATCCTCAAAACACGGTGGCGTGAATTGAAGTGACTCGCCCAAGCAACTAAAACGAACTCAATATTCAACTATTAACCTGATTTTTACAATTAGCTAATTTTCGGACGATTGTCAGAGAATGTATGGCTGTTATAAATCAAAACTGTAAACATTCAAAAAAGAGAAACGTATACTTTGAGCCGGTTTGCGGGATTGTATCTGTAAACGACTCACGGCGGCTTCACAAAGAGCTTCCAGTTGATACTCCCAACAGATTTCTCTATGACAACCATGAACGCAACACTGTCGTGTAATGCTACTTCCAAGAAAATATATCACGTCCGTATTACAGAAAATTAAAAACAGTATATTCGTTTAAAAGAACGCTATTGAAAAAACTTCAACAAACTAACTCTTCTTTTTACACATTACTGGTGAGAGTTGAAAAAATATCGTCACTAAAAATGTTGTAGATGCTAATGAGAAAACATGTGTTCAAGGTTTTGTTAAGGTGGTTCAAATATTTCCTTTTGAAAACAAGGAAATCCCACGTTTACAAATATGTCAAATCTGGTTCTGTCCAGTTCACGCGAGCCTCGGCCTGTGCGAACAACAGCGTGTGCTGCATGCTATTGATTGACAGCCAAAGCGATGAAATCCACATTTGTCATCCTCGGTTAAACAACATAGGTAAGAATTAACATGAATGAAAAATATAAAAGTGAACAAATATATTTGATTTGCTCTTACCTTAACCCGTGAAAGGATATGCGCAGATGTCTATTCGGAATATTCTACACAGTTCGTTCAGTGTTCAGCGTCGGTGGTTACACACTGAACACACACAACAGCTGATCAGCACAGCGAGGCTTCTATGGCCGATCGTGGTATACACTGCCAACTGCCACGATTTTCTTTGAGACAAAGGAACCTTTGACCGTAAGCGATAAGAGTGTCTTTCGTCTCATCAGGGCACAGGGAGGAAAATGAACAAATTCAGCTTGCACAACGAACTGGCATGATGCGTCAGGCCCGACATGTCACATGACCAAATAATACAATAATGGTCCTGACGCGCGGCTCTGTGTGTGCGTGCGAAAGACTCAGCTGGCTGGTCAGAGCAAGGCTGCGCATTACACGTGCGTGAGGACGATGGCATATGCGTACACGAGATCTATCCATGATCGCACTTACTACTTTCAAAACAGGGGAGAGGGTTTTAATTACAATCTTTGCTTTCGATGATAAACTTAGTAACGTGTTGTTTATGACTTGACTGTGTATTTCATACTTTTTATGGTGTGTATAAACTAGGTAATTGTTTTATTTTTAGAGCGTCGCTTTATTGTTTGTTTTGTTTTTATTGCAGGGTGTACAGTTGAGCCAACAATGATGCAGTTTAGTAAACAACTGAGAATATCTTTGTATATACGTAGCATCTCAGTTAAATATTTCACCGGTCCTACAAACGAAGATGGTGGTTGGATGACCTGGTGTTAAAGTATACGCTCCTCACGCCGAAAGCCCGCGGTTCGATTCCTCAAATAGGTACAAAGTGTGAACACGACTATTTCTAGGTGTTCCCCGTCGTAATATTGCTGGACTATTGCTAAAAGCGGCGTAAAACCACACTCGCTCACTCACTCACTCACTCCGTAAGAGGCGACTAACGGGATTGGGTGGCCAGGCTGGCTGATTTGGTCGATGTATGTCAACGTATACCTTTTACGTAGATCGATGCTCATTAGGTCATTCACTCGATTGTCTGGTCCAGACTTGATAATTTACAGACCGCTGTCATATAGCTGGAATATAGCTGAGTGTGGCGTTAAAGAAGAAACATTAAATCTAATTAAATCTATAAGGTCAACTGTCATGGGTTGTTTGGGACATAATTGTTTCAGGGACTGTATGACAAATGAGCAGTATATATCACATGACACATAAATTATATTATATTATCATAATTGTATATCGCATCATACCAACTAACTTGCCTTTCATTGTCATATGGTAAATAACATTAGTCTATGATTAGCTTTGTTTATTTATTGATTATGTTTACTAATGGCAGAGCACACATGCGTATGTCCAACAGGACAATTATGTTGATATCGCTTGAAACGTTCACTGTTGGTGGCGGAGAGTAGGTGGATGGGTGACTGGATGCAAGCTAACTCCTAAAAGTTTCTCGGGCTTCGGTCCTGATCTACATTGAAACAGGGGGCACGGGTGGCCCAGTCGTCTAAGGCGCCGCGATTCGCTGTGCAGAGTTGCGTCCCTTAGGCACGCCAGAAACCTATGATTGTGGGTTCGAATCCCGGTTCGCCCCGATTATGTTTCTAGGTTTGTCAGCACCATACCCGTACTCGTGGGTTTCACCGAAGTGGTAAACGTCTGACACCTGCATCACTTCGGGCTTTCCCCCCACATTAAGCTGACACGCCGCGATATAACTGGAATACTGTTAAAAGCGGCGTTAAACCAAACTCACTCACTCACTCACTCACTCACACTCACACTGAAACACATATTACATTTAGTGTCTCCTTAGTCAAGTTACTTTCTTTGAGTGAGTATGGTTAAACGCCGCTTTTAGCAATATTCTAGCAATGTCACGGCGGGGGTACTTTCTTTTGAAATATGAATATGTTCACCTCGCAGGAGGATGTGATGTCAGTGTGGCTGTTAACCTTCTAGCGCCTCATAGGCTGCTGGTGTTGGATATTTTTTTATGGTGATCGAGCGGTCGTTCCCAGCTCACGTTTATCAACCCCCTTTTATGACACACCGGTAAACAACACAGTTCGCTTGATGATAAAATGTTATCCTAATTGCAATTCACTTGAATAATCATGTTAATTTTCACTTTTTGGAACATTAGAATTGGGTTCGATACAACAAATACTCCTCTTAAGTCGAACCCTTTTTATTCGCATTTCGACCTACACTACTACTCACTGTTGCGGATTGGTCAATTATGTGGTTGCTTTGTTAGCAGTCGCTCGTTTAATGTCCCACGCGGGTGCAATATGTGAAAGGAAAGTGGCCTAGTGGTTAAAGTGTTCGCTCATCTCGCCGAAGGCCCGGGTTCGATTCCACACATGGATACATTGTGTGAAGCTCATTTCTGGTGTCCCCAGACGTCATATTGCTAAAAGCGGCGTAAAACCAGACTCACTCACGCACAATGTGTCCAGCCCATTCTTCACGCCCTCCGACGTGACATATCTGAAATATTACTAAACGTCGCGTTAAATCATACTCGTTGAAAATAACATTCAACTTACTAATTTTTGCAAATTTCACTATTTTAATATATTTAATATTTTAATAATAACTATCAAGTACAAGATATGTTCACGTATATACGTGGACATGTCCCGTTCTGCGGACTTCTTTTACAAACTAGTTTCCGGAATAGTTTATCTTTCGACCCAAAGCACACGAAGTTCACTAAATGTAACAATTTTACATTCGTTTCATTTACACCTTCCCAAACCTATTCAGATAATTCGGTCTCTGCGTATTAAAACACTATCAACAGGCCCCAGCCTAGATTTTATACCCGCGTAATGTGTATATAGGAAACCGGAATTAAAGTGCACTCACTGACCCGGATGAGCAATTGCGATATATGGATATAAGTTGTGAAACCCTTTCAAAGGTCACGTGGATAGTTTTCTCCCGATTTCAAGTACGAGGTTAATTCTTTGAAAGCAAGTACAAGAATATATACGTTGATATGGTTACCCGTTCATGGTTTTTCCTATAAGAAATAACACCTCGTCCAAAAACTCGCTACGATGAATAATTTCATAACGAGAGGCTGTCTTCACCAAACACAACTCTTTCGTCGTAAGTGAGTTGTAATTGGTTGACTGGTATAGTGTATGTGAGTTGTGATTGGTTGATTGGTATAGTGTATGTGAGTTGTGATTGTTGATTGATATGGTGTATGTGAGTTGTGATTCGTTGACTGCTATAATGTATGTGAGCTGTGATTGGTTGACTGGTATAGTGTATGTGAGTGGTGAATGGTTGACTGATATAGTGTATGTGAGTTGTGATTGGTTGATTGGTATAGTGTATGTGAGTTGTGATTGTTGATTGATGTGGTGTATGTGAGTTGTGATTAGTTGACTGCCATAATGTATTTGAGTTGTGATTGGTTGACTGATATAGTGTATGTGAGTTGGGATTGGTTGACTGGTATAGTGTATATGAGTGGTGATTGGTTGACTGATATATTGTATGTGAGTTGTGATTAGTTGACTGGTATCGTGTATGTGAGTTGGGATTGGTTGATTGGGGTAAGGTATGTGTGTTGTGATTGGTACAAGGTATTTGAGTTGTGATTGGTTGACTGCTATAATGTATGTGAGTTGTGATTGGTTGACTGGTATAATGTATGTGAGTTGTGATTGGTTGACTGTTATAGGGTATGTGAGTTGTGATTGATTGAGTGCCATAGTGTATGTAAGTTGTGATTGGTTGACTGCTTAGTGTATGTGAGTTGTGATTGGTTGATTGTTATAGTGTATGTGAGTTATGCTGGACCAACTAAAGTAACGCATGTAGGTTGTGATTGGTTGACACGTGAGTTACACTGAATCTGGGTGCAGGATGTAAATTATTACGTACATGTATTTACGTCAGGTAAAGAAGTCATTGTGTTCTTCAATAAATATAGGATTGGAGGTGACGAGAAACTATATACATCGCGTCTCATGAGAACCAGTCCACATTTGACCAAAAATGACTTTTTGGCATTTTCTTTTCAAATGAGTGTTTTTATAACATTGTTGTAAAATTCATGAAGCCGTTGTTGCTGGAAACTGGTTTTGCAGAGATTCTTTGCACGATAACTCACATCTTACTTTAAACCAGAATGTTCTTTTCCATGTCAATGCCCAAGTGTCCAATCAAATTCTTTGCACAGATCTTGTGACAAGGAGATAGGACCGCATAGTTCCAAATCATTTGGAGATAGAACCATTCGGTTATTTTTAGAACCGTAGAATGTGAACATTGGGAGTGAATTTTGTGATCTATCAGCTGAAAATACTTAACAAAAGATGATGGCTTCATATAAATGCCGTCATATAGCTGGAATATTGCTGAGTGCGGCGTTAAACAACAAACAAACAAACACATTACAATAATCTGTCTCAAGAATGTGATCCTCCTTTGGATGAAAACTTTGGTCAAGAATAATCAGAATACGGCAATTGAATTTACTAATGGAGATAGAACAGGACGGATCTGAAAAAAGATGTCCTGATATATTGGATACTCTTACATTAAAATAACATGTATCTGTAAATGAGAAGATGGATAATTACTTTTGCTTCAAAAACAAATAAATTATTCTGTATTTGTTTAAATAAATGCAGATTGTTTTGCATGTTAATATTATACAGCACTTTAAATTTTAAGATATCATTTAATCAAAACTTGTAACAGTGGAAACAGGAAATTATGGTTCTTAGGCGACGATTGATTAAACTTCATTTGGTCAATGGTTCTTCAAATGATTTTGAGTTTTTCTATTTTATATTTTATATTTTTCTTACACAGAAAAGGTAGAGCTTTCGAGCAAATTAAAATAGGGTAATTATTTCCCTTTCTATTTTCACTCATGTATGGCTCTGGTAATATAATTTTTAATATGTAATTTTTTTACTTGGGATTTGGCGACCACCATTACTGAAAAGACCACTTGTTGATGGACACAACGTTTGAATCTGGTAATTCTAATTTCTCTATGTCTACCCAAGGGTGGAATTCTTTGGCATTGCAAATATATGTGAGTTGTGATTGGATGACTGGGTTACATGTCAAAGCTCCACCCTGGGTAGTCTAGTGGTAGTGGTCGAAGCTCGTCACTACGAAGACACGGGTTCGATTCCCTATATGAGTTCAATGTGGGAAGCCCTTTTCTGGTGTCCGCAGACGTGGTGTTCAAGAATAGAGCTAAACGCGTCGTAAAAAACGTATTCACTCACTCTACCCTCTTAATATCTCATAGTGACTCTACAACTCCTTCTTTTGG